TTAGTCCCAGTTAAACCTGAACATGTTTTGGTCTGTATGAAGAACCTGGCTGGAGACCAGCGGCAGTTTTACCATTAGGCATAGGTCGGCGGCCACCTGGGGCCCCCTTATGTTGGGGACCCCTAGCCCTGACTGCTGGCACCCCTCTGTTAATGCCACAATGGACTATTCCTTTAAGATGCTGATGCACAAACAGGAAGTGATTGGTAGTCATTCCACTCCAATCCAGTTGGTGGTGGTAATGCACCAAATTGTTGTTTGCCAAGTGCCATAAGACCACAAATAATAATAATAAGAAAATATCATTTCTGTAGCGCCTCTCAAGATAAAAATCACGAGGAACTTCACAAAAACAAACAAAAAAAATATAAAAATATAAAAATGCATTTAGAAAATGTTTAAAAATATATTTAAAATGAGCAAAAATAGGCAATTGGGATTTAAAAGAAAAAAATGTTAAGAAAGAGAGAGAGTGAACAGGAAAGAGGGAAATCAGTGGATCCTGAGGAAGGTGGAATAGGTGGGCAGAGCAGAATAAAGAGAGAGAGGTGAAGAAGGTCATACAAAAGCCAGCTTGAACAAGTGAGTCTTCAGCTGCTTTTTAAAGGAGACCACTGAGTCCACTGATCTCAGGCTCAGGGGGAGAGAGTTCCAGAGTCTGGGGGCCACAGCAGCAGATGATCTGTCACCTTTGGTCTTTAGCCTGGTGCTGCACAACCAGTAGGCTTTGATCACTGGACCTCAGGGACCTGCTTGGGGTGTAGGGACTAAGAAGATCACCAATGTAAGATGGTGCTTGTCCATGTAGGGCCCTATGGACCAGAACCAGGATCTTGAAATGAACCCTGAAGTTGACTGGCAGCCAATGAAGCTGGAGGAGAAGCGGGGTGATGTGGGTGTGTTTGGAGGACTTGGTCAGAAGCCGAGCGCAGGCGTTCTGAACCACCTGTAGACGGTTCAGGGAGGTTCTGCTCAGAAACGTGAAAAGAGAGTTACAGTAGTCTAAGTGTGAGGAGACGAAGGTGTGGAGAACTGTCTCAAGTTCAGATAACTTCAAATAAGAAGAAGAGAAAGCAGAAAAAGAAGAAGAGAGGCGGGAGCATTTGTAACCAAAGATATGTATATATAAACACTAGATGCCTCGTCCCCGCTGTTCGCCAATGGGATGCGATGTAGGAACGTGGCGGCCATCTTACCTCAGACAGCTGCCCCCTTTCTTGACATGGGGGTGTATGGTGCATGTAATATTTAAACAACTCTAACTTGCTCAATTTTCAACCAATTTTCAAAAGGTTTGTTTTGTTATAAACGCCAGACGTGTCTATGGAAAAGGATGGGCTTGGCCCAGAAATTCTTGTTATTTCACTCCACAAAGCATTTAATCTTTCATAGATAACACATTTAATTACAGTAACTTAAATTACACATAGCCTAGTATTATATTATATAGCTCTATCTATCTATCATCTATCTATCTATCTATCTATCTATCTATCTATCTATCTATCTATCTATCTATCTATCTATCTATCTATCTATCTATCTATCTATCTATCTATCATCTATCTATCTATCTATCTATCTATCTATCTATCTATCTATCTATCTATCTATCTATCTATCTATCTATCATCTATCAATCAATCAATCAATCAATCAATCAATCAATCTATCTATCTATCTATCTATCTATCTATCTATCTATCTATCTATCTATCTATCTATCTATCTATCTATCTATCTATCTATCATCTATCAATCAATCAATCAATCAATCAATCAATCTATCTATCTATCTATCTATCTATCTATCTATCTATCTATCTATCTATCTATCTATCTATCTATCTATCATCTATCAATCAATCAATCAATCAATCAATCAATCTATCAATCAATCTATCTATCTATCTATCTATCTATCTATCTATCTATCTATCTATCTATCATCTATCAATCAATCAATCAATCAATCAATCAATCAATCAATCAATCAATCAATCTATCTATCTATCTATCTATCTATCTATCTATCTATCTATCTATCTATCTATCTATCTATCTATCTATCTATCTATCTATCTATCTATCTATATTCCTGGTTTGTGAAATAAGATTTGTGTGGAGATGAGATTTCAAGGTTCTTTTGAGGTAAAGCCCACATTAACAGAACACAGATAAATGCACCCCAGCAAATAAGACAACCAACACCCAAATCACATCTGTCAGCCAGAACCGGCCCACTAGCAATAAAATTTAACCCAGCAAATTATTTATTATTTTCACCATTTCTTAACTTTTGTTTTCTTATTTATTGACTTTCATTTATTAATTATGAGTTCTTTGGAAATGCTGTCTGAAAAAGTTAGGAAATAATCAAAAGATAGATTAGGTTAATAAATAAGACAGATGGATAATGGATTGATCTTGTGAAGGAGATTTTCAACATTCATCAAACCAGATAAATAATGTATAGAAGGAGGTACCAGCAGCAATGGAACAGCAGTTTCTAATTATTTTATTGACATAAAAACAATTAACAGACTGAATAATGTACAAGTATAGGTTTTCTTTGCAACTGTTACAGATGGCAGGTGATCCCTCGTTGTCTCGATTTGTCACAGCGGCGATTCGAGCATCCGTAGGCTGTTGACCCTCAGCTTCACGATTAATAAAGGTGTATTTCTGCAAACGTAAATCCAGAAATGTCCTGTTTAATATATCCCAATATAAGTTTAGTGTAACAAACCAAGACGCTTAAAAATCACGGGCAATTTAGCATTAGTTTACTTAAAATAAAATAAACGACTCCCACTGAGGTAAACAGCCAACTTTGTTTTGCTAAGCAGTGCACCCACCGTAGCCTCGTCATCTCTAAGCCAAGTTAGACAGCTAATAAATACAGAAACATCCACAAACAGCCATTTCCACAACAATGTGGCTGTCGTAAAGTCGTTATTAAAACCGCATAAAATATTGATTGTGGTCTCAACCTGAATAACATGCAGATAGCCTAGGCGGGACACATGGTTCACAATTAAGCCACTTTCAAAAGCAAAAGTGTTACTTTCAACATGTGCAAGTATGTTGTCTCAAGCCCATGTGTTCTAAGGGTTGTAACAAGGCAAACCGCTTGTAAATCCGTTAATATTTAATCGAGTTAAGGGTGTTTTTGTTTAAGCTGATCACTCACCTTCCAGCTGCTACCATTGAGAGCGGAGGGGTCTGTTGTCTGAAGTAAGATGGCCGCCGTTTAGCTACGCCCTCGACTCCCGCTTTAGCCATCTAATGTTTGTATACATATCTATGTTCATAACAAACTCGAAGCGGTAGTCAAAACATTAAGCAGGAAGTGGAGTTATCCTAGTGGCTCCAATAAGAGAAAGAAGCAGCTTGCTTTAAAAAAAGCTTTTATCTTCACTTCCAAAAGTGACGTCGTTTTTCAATGTAAACATCAAAAGGAAACAGAAAAGGAAAAACAATGGAAAATGTTTAAAGGGAGGAAAACATAGACCAAAACAGAAAATAGAAGAAATAAAGAAAGGCAAAAGCACAGGAGCACTGATTAGAAGAAGAAAGCAGCGCAAATAATGAAGGCACTCAAAGGGAGAGACAGGGAAAAAGAGAACTAATAAAAAGTGAAAACAACTCATGTCATAAGAGGGTAGAATTTCACAAATCCAGTTAAAGACAAGATTGTCAAAAATTTTGCGTAAGGGGGCCCCATGTCTGTGTTCGCCCTGGGCCCCCAAATTGCTAAATCCGCCACTGCTGGAGATGCAAACTCCATTCAGAAAAGCTGCAGACATGACACCATCTTTCTGCAAGTCAGCAGTGCTACCAACTGTGCTATGAAGCCATCTTCTGGATTACATTAAATTACAGCTCATATAAACACAAAGGGCTTTAAACAGCCTAAATTACTTTGTAAAAGCATTTATCTAAAGTCTGAATCTGCCTGTAAAAGGAAAGATACATCATCTCATCACTGAAACTGATTAACAGGACTTAACCATTTTCAGATATCAGCTAAAACTCTGCTCATGAGGGAGTTTGGGGTCGTTCTTTTAACCCTTATACGACCTTAGTGCATTTTGTTGTGCTCAAGGACAAAAACGTTAGAAAATTAAAGGGTTAACTGATTATTTTATTTGTACCTTTTAAATAGTTTTTCTCTCTGAAGTTACTGGATGGATTGATCTACCCTCTGTATGGGACTTCAGTTTTTCTGGGCGATGGTGGCACAGGAGTTAAGCGCTCGCCCCGTAATTGGAAGGTTGCAGGTTTGAGCCCAACTCAGTCTGTCACTGTTGTACCCTTGGGCAAGACACTTAATCCACTTTGCCTGCTGGTGATGGTCGGAGGGACCGGTGGCACCTGTGCACGGCAGCCTCGCCTGTCAGTGAGCCCCAGGGCAGCTGTGGCTGCATTGTAGCTCATCACCACCAGCGTGTGAATGACAGACTGTGTTGTAAAACGCCTTGGGGGGTCCGAGGACTCTAGAAGGCACTATATCAAATACAAGTCATTTACCATTCATCCATTTTGCAGATTATTTTGATGCAATTTAACATTTTATCTGTAAATGCTGTTTCTTTAAATCAAGTGTGAGGCTAAAGCTTTATTTCAAGTTATACAGTATTTCTTATCCCAGTTTATGCTAGTTTGTGCCTGGACTCATTTTGATGACACAATTCACATTTCTCCCTTTCATTCTAGCAAATTACATAAGCATGAAATGTGACCAAACTGTAAAAACCTTAATTTTCATGACAACAAATCCCAAAATCATTCGACTGCATTTGTGACGTCTGCAGCATGCTCAGGGAAATCCAGCAAACACCCGCTGCAGCAAACTTTGTGCAGAACGATGTAAACCTTCAATATGACCAAATGAAAAGCAGCTTTAACGATATAAAATAAAGCAGATTCTGTGTCATCCAGTCAGTCACTGGGGGAGAATTTCTCAAAGCATTAAAATAAAAAAATACACAAAAAAATAAGTAAAAATATAAAAATGATTTATTACACATCTAACAATAAACCAGTGGAATGGTTTCATAAGTGACAGCAGCAACAAAACCACCAAAAACACAAACACAAATCAAAGACGCATGGTGGGAAAGCTTATCAGAACCAGAACGGGAACCTCTGACGGACTACTTCAGAGGCTTTTTTAATGTGCGGAGAGTTGGTCCAGGTTGTCATGGCTGCGGCAGGAGAGGTGGGCCTCCAAAATTTCACCAAACAAACTTCTTTTCAGCAAGCTGTAAGCCATGGGCAGCAGCTGCTTGATGACCTTGTGAAAGTACTGCAAAAGAGAGGAAACCGAGATTTACCGACAGGTACGTTAGAACTTCACACCATAACAACCGAGCTCTCAGCAATCCAGGCTCATCAATAGGGATGCACCAATGGATCGGCATTTGATCCCAATCGGCTGGTAGCGCCCCTATCGGTTTTGATCAGAGTTTTCAAAATAGATCAAAGCAGACCGATCAGGTAGGGTTGTCATGGTAACCAGTGTAGCGGTAAACACCGGTAAAAAAAAGTTGACAATAATAATAACTGTCTTGTTTTTAAATAAATATATTATCTCGGTGGGTTACCGAGGCTGCGGTGTAGGCGAGGTGACCCTTACCAGCCACCGTATCATCTGCTGAAGTTGCCGGCGGCACATGCGCACTTTGTTGTTTACAACTAGGGTTGTCACAGTAACCGGTATAGCGGTAAACCCCGGTAAAAAAGTTGACAATAAAAATAACCGTCCAGTTTTTAAAAAACTCAATTATCTCGGTGGGTTTACCGTGGCTGCGGTTTCGGCGCGATGACCCTTACCAGCCACCATCGCTTCAGCTGAAGTTCCCGCGGCGCACACACGCACTTTTAGTTTGCAACGGCACCAAAACTTTGAAGCTGAAATAATGGCCGAAGGAGGAGACGGCAGCGCCCAGGACATCCATCAGCCCTCAAAGAAGACTAAATCGGAAGTATGGGCATATTTTGGATTTCTGAAAAATGCTGAGGGCCAGTTAATAGAAGACGGCTATCCCGTTTGCAGAACGTGCAGGAAACAAGTGTCTGCAAAAGGCAGCAACACTTCGAATCTAATGGCACATCTGAGTGACCATCACCCACGTCTCTACAGCCAGTGCAAGGTAAGTTAACATTAGCATTTTAGCTTAAATGCATGACGTGAGGACATTTGGTTGAGGGAGAATGCAACGAGTCACTATATACTGCAGCCGCAGCGTCCTCTGCCAGCATTTAAACCGTGTCACGGACACCCTGTTGCTGGATGAAGCATCTTATTTGTTGATGAAGAGAAATATACAATTAGTTCCTTGTCATTGATTTGTTTACTTATTCAATGCCATTTATACTTGAACATTTGGATTTGATTACATAGTGTAGTAGTTATTTTAGTAATTTGTTTAAAGTGGCTATTTATTTTAAATACATATTTTTTTAAGGTTGACTTCAAGTCAAGTGTGGACTGGAGTTTTAGATTTTCATTTTGATAATGAAGAAAACAAGTATATGAGAAAACAAGTGGTGTTTCTTTGATTTGTTTACATATTGTTTATGTTTTGAATGTTTGGATTTGTATAATTTAAACCTGCACTGACTACTGTAACATGTTCCAGAAAAAGAAGCTATTTGTTCCTTTACTTGTGAAAAGTTGCACTTTTGCTAAGGCTTTGTGTTATTTTAGGTTTAATAAACACTGTTAAACCTTTTCAGAACTATTTCAGTTTGTGTAGAACAGGACTATCAATGCTTCCTGAACATATGCAACACCGTTTAAAAAAATACCGCGATAATACCGAAAACCGTGATAATTTTGGTCACAATAACCGTGAGGTAAAATTTTCATACCGTGACAACCCTATTTACAACCAAAACTTTCTTGAAGCTAAAGCTGAAATAACGGCCAAAGGAGGAGACGGCAGTGCTCAGGACATTTTTTATCCCTCAAAGAAGACAAACTGGGAAGTACGGGCATGTTTTGGATATTTGAAGAATGCCGAGGGACAGCTGATAGAAGACGGCTATCCTGTTTGCAGCACGTGCAGAAAAAGTGTCTGTGAAAGGCAGCAACGCTTCAAATCTCATGACACATCTGCGTGACCATCACCCACAACTCTACAGTCAACGCAAGGCAAGCTAACATTAGCGCTTTAGCTAAAATGCGTGATCCGAGGATTTGGGTTGAGGGAGAACGCAACGAGTAGCTATATGAAGCAGCCGCAGCGCCGCTACCTGCATATAAACCGTGTCGCGGACACCCCCATGTTGAAATGACGCTATGCATTACGGGGCTCCCAGGGGCAGATAAGAGTTGGTCTCTCTCCGAGAATAATTATGAATTTAACAATGATTACTGCCTGATGACATTTCCCCACATCTGCAAAGCTCACTGGAAGGACACAAACCGAGGACAATATTTTCCTGATATAGGGTTTATTACTCAAGTAAGGGTAAAAAAGTATCTGATTAGAAGGCTACTTGAGTACTGAGTATCATCTGATCTAATATTTTTTTAAATGATGACATCAAACAGACATAAAATAAGAAGTTATGGGCAAATATTGGTATTTTAAAGACTAAAGGGGAAAAATGTAAACAAATAAACAACATAATTACAAAATAACACATTTTAGGCTAAATTTAGACACAAACTGAGGACAATATTTCCTGACATACAGGGTTTATTTAATTGTGTGAAAATGTAGCACGTTTAAAAAAAATACCGCGATAATACCGAAAACCGTGGTAATTTTGGTCACAATAACCGTGAGGTTAAATTTTCACACCGTGATAACCCTAATCCAGACCATTTTAGATTAGGTTACATTTCCTTTATTCCCAGATTATGTAGTTTGTAGCACTCATTATAATGTTGTAGAAAATTTCTGGCCAATCCACGTGATCGGTATCGGTGATCAGCATTCTTTGATATCGGTATCGGCAGAAAAAACCTGACCGGTGCATCCCTACTTATCAGCGTCTGCATCTGAATAAAAATCTCAAGTTTAGGAAGTAATACGTAGATGTAGAAACAACACTTTTAAAAGACTCACATGGGATCCGTAACAGAAGAGATCTATTCCTAGTTCATAACCCATTCCATAGTCGCACTCGTCGTTTGCAAACTGAACAAACGTGATCATCTCCTGGATCGGTCCAAAAGCTTTCACACGCTCTTCATCATGCCGCGCTTCAGCAATAGCTTTACAGATCTTTTTGAGGCCAGCTAGGAGACGAGGAAAGAAACCTTGTTAGGTGATTTCACGTTACATGAATCATGATTGGAGTTAGATCTCACCGTCTGTTTCTGGCAGTTCTCTGTATCCTACGCCGTTCTTATCCACAGGCACAATGATTCCAGCCCCGTGGAACGTCTTGGTGACAACCTACGGAGGGACAAATGTGCGGGCTGTAGCTTTTATTTAACTGTTATTGATAAGACTCAATTTAAAGCAGAATATGGGTTTATACAGGCAATAAGCAGCCTGAGTCAGATTACGCCGGGGACACACCGGCCGCGGAAGCGCCGCGAAGCGAATCGCTCATGAAATTCGGCCGCTGCTCGTCGCTCCTCAGTTCAGATCAGACGCGCCCCAGTCGAGGCGCGCCTCGGCTCAGCTGTGGTTTTTCTTTTAAACACTTGGTGTCCTCCATTTCCTCTCTGCCTTTTCTCAGCTCTTTTCCTCTACGTTTGAGTGTTTGTACGTGTGTGTGTGTGTGAACCTATGGTATGAACCAGGTGTTTCTGCCAGTTGAATCTCTTGGAACCCGCTCCAATTCTGCAGCTGTATCCTAGCAGTTTCTTCAGAAATGGGTACGTAAATAATGTTTTTCGGGGGTCGTGCAGCTCCTTGTGTTTCTCAACTTCCATAATTAATTTAAAGTCATCCATCTTAACTGCTTGCCTCAGACTTTCTGCCTCTCTGTCCTGTTTGCTCTGGAAAAAAAAGACACCCAAAACCACACCCCCCTTCACGTGGTCACACACGCACACAAGTTCAATGTGTGTGTGTGTGTGTGTTCGTGTGGTTTTTCTGCAGTGTCTGATTACGAACACATTTGACTATTGCGGGATTTTCTTTTTGAAATGCTTTATTTTGTTAACTTTACCGGCCTGCCTCTTATGTCTAGGTTGGACTTCCTGCCAGGATTGACGCGATTCACCCGCGGCTCGCGAAAAAATAGAGCCGACGTCGAAATGATCGCTGCACGGCGCGAGGCGCTTCGGCGGCCCATGTGGTCTATAGAATAGCTTAACAAGTTCGATGAATGAAGGCGGTCCCATTTTCGCGGCGCTTCCGCGGCCGGTGTGTCCCCGGCGTTAGGGTTATGGGGGAAAAGCCTTAGAAAAACCTCTGTGGACTCCCCAGTCTAACTCTGCAGTTTACACCTCATTTCATTCTGCTTTTTATTTTAAAAACAAACAAAATAAGAAAAGTCTAGCTAAAATTATTAACTAATAATGGTAATATTATAGTTTCCCTAAGATCTAGCCAGCAATGTCCAAGAAATAATTAAATGTACTGAAACTAAATCCACTGGCAACAGGACAGTAAGCAACACACAAACACAGATCTAAGAAGTCCTGCAGCGACCTCGGCAGGTGAGTGCTTTGTCCTATCGTGTGTGAACTTTACCTTCTTGTCCCTCTGCTTCATACTTTTGGTCTTCGCCTCTAAAGACAAGCCTAAAGTCACAACCCTTTCTTTCAGCTTTGCCTCCAAGCTTTCCAAAGCGTCTCCTCCTGCGCCGTTACTGCTCCTCTCCTTCTTCTTCCTCTGCAGAAACAGGCTGACGGAGAAGAGATCAGAGACATCAACGGTCGGTTAGAGAGAGGAATGAACACCAAAAGCGGAGACAGAAAGTGCAAAAACTAAGAAATATTTCAAATAACCTGTAAAAAAGTCGCAATCCTCTTCTATAACCTGTTTTAATTGTTGACTAACTTTAATGAGAAAAACAACTAATGGTTGAGACTCACTAGACAGCTGCAAATATGTTATCCCCCATTTGTGCTATGGTGTAGCCCTTCTTGGCTTCATTTTCCCCAACAAACGAAGGAAGGGAGTCATCCGTGTCCCTGGAATATAAATAAATAAATAAATAAACAGTAACTCGTGATCTGTTGTCCCAGTTTTAGGCTCTCCCATCGATTCAGCTCAAAGCTGAAAAGTGGCGACGCTACCTGTAGTAGCCCATGTGATGCTGGGTGTCCTCGCTCCCCTTCAGGATGGTCTGAAACTCGGGGGGGTCGTAGAAGTACCGACAGTGCAGGTGGAAGTTAGGCTGAAGATTCTTGGAGATTCTGTGAGCTCCCGCCAGAACATCAAATGGACCAACCAGCACCAAGCCCAGCGTGTCTTTGAGCGCACCTGCACAGGTTTACACAACAGAAGCACGCACATACTGGAAAGGTTAGAAACCCTTACATCAGCATAAAATAAATAACTCAACAACAATATGATGGACTCCGTGGAAAATGACGTCACCTAAAAGTCAAACAACATTAAAACACACATTTTCTGCAGGATAACCCTCTAAGACAGCCTCCAAATGCCCCACTAGAAACAGTTCACCGTGCTTTCATTACATTTAGCCTCTTGCACCAACTAAGGACTGCTGAAGAGGAGTGTTTAAGGCCTAGTCCACACGTAGCCGGTTTTTTAAAAATGAATATCCGCCCCTCCAAAAACTTGCATCCACACCACCGCGTTTTAAAGAAAACTCTGTCCACACGTACCCGGATAAATACGTTGTTAAGGACATGCCAGACCTGTAGGCGGCAGTACTTCCCCCGTTCTTAACCTCGTCCTTCGTCTGTGGTCTTCCGCAAGGAGCAGTAATTCCGCTTGCAAAAACAAACAAGCAAACAGCGCTTGGACAATTGATAAAGCGAGCGCAGCTCTGAGGGCATCCATGCTGTCGGCTAGTGTAAACACAGGTCGCACACGTGATGTCAGCATTTTTTTGTCGTGGAAAGTGACGTTGCGGACCTTAAAACTCCGGTTTTGTCTGTCCACACGCAGACACCCAAAACGGAGAAAACACAGATCTTCACTTTGGCCGGAGTTTTTAAAAAGATCCGTTTTCGTGTGAAAAAACTCAGTTTTCGTGTGGATGACAGGCCAAAACGTAGAAAAATATCTACGTTTTGGCAGATCCCCGGCTACGAGTGGACAGGGCCTAAATCCCAGTTGCAGCTTTAGTCCCATCAGTGGTGAGAGCAGTCAGGACGTACCACAGGGGTTGTCGGGACAAAGCTCCTTGCAGAAATCCCAGAAGTGGAACAGATCTTCTGGCATTTGTAAACCGTACAGCCGGGTCAACTCATCCCGCTGCTCTGGATTCACTTCTGACAGCAGCACAGGTGTGGACTCATCAGTCCGGACCCTCTTCACCTCTCCATTGGCTGAATCCGACCCCTAATGAATCAGAGGAAGAAAAGAAAAATTACAAGTTTTAGTTTGTGGACCCAGGTTACACCATTGTCACTCCTGTCTCAGCCTGTTGCTGCTCTCTGATTATTAATTATATTAAAGTTTAACACCCTCCTGTTTCCTATGGCCTCCATCTGGGACGTAATTTTGGGGGGGGACGGGTGGGACATGTCCCCCCCACTTTTTCAATAGGCAGTTTCGGTCCCCTTCACTTTTTTCCTTCCAAAAACAATATTACGCTCCATTAAATGGATTTGATTGAGCACTAGGACCGAAACGGAAACCGGTTTCCTATTAGACCCACCCAAAAGCTAATCTATTGGCTCTGCTGATACTTGCTAACGTATTATTGGCTGTTGCTGCTGTCACTCCAAGTTGTAAACAGAACGTGCTCACGTTGTTTTGCTAGTTTGGAGCCGCTAGGGAACACCGGTACTGAGTCACATCGTCAACTAGACGCTGTGTAATATCAGAGCTCAGCTCAGCTTCCATTATATAACATTTGAATAAGTGTTCATTTGTGAGTCTTTGGTAGTTATGCACAGCCAGGCGGCAGCATGTCAAGAAACGAAAGTGGATATAAGAGACTTCTTTCAAAGTCAAAACGTAAGTTGGAACATGTGACACCGCTGCATTAAGCTCAGACTCACCTCCTCCTTCACAAACATACTCAAAACTAACTTTTACAAACTCATCTCCTCCACATAACTGACTCCTCAGACACAATGTATTCGTATTATTATAATTATTATTATTTATTATTATTATTACTATTATCATCATGATTATTATTACTAGTAGTAGTAGTAGTAGAAGTGTAACTTCAAAACTTTTATCATTTAACTTTATTGTAAACTTATCTATTGCAATGTATATGTTCACATTAAAAAGCTCTGAAAAATGAACAGTATCATCATCGTCAACAGATTTTTTTAAGCTTAATGTCAAAGATGTACTCTTTTCATTAGATTTATCTTATTTTTTCCATTTATTTTTTGTGTGTTGAAATGCAACAACTGTTTAAACACTTTTAAGGGAAAAAACATATTTAATATGTTTTTATACACTCAAATTGGTAATGAATAATTTACACATTATATTAATAATAATTGTGAATCATACTAGAACCATCCTGTAAATATTTCTGTTTGTTCCATTCCAAAATCTCCCACTGTTTATAGTTCATGCATCTTTTTTTCAGGTGACTGACAGAGATGCAGGAGGAGAGACCGGTGAAGGTACAGCAGGAGAGGCTGTAGGAGATGGAGGACGAGAGCCTGGAGGAGATGGAGCAGAGGCTGGAGGCTCACAGGTGAGGTTGAAATAATGAAGATACGATAGACATAAAATTGATCATTGTGACAAATGTTAGGGTGATGATCATGTGTAAAACATTAGTTCAGCATGTCCTCTAACACAGCAAATGAAATAACGGCCAGATCTCAGGAGGGACCGTTTATGTATAAATACTTTTTATACTTTTGACTAGGCCTGGGAAAGTAACAAATTTTGCTGGACGATATTTTGTCCAACAAATTGTTGATGATAAACGATATCATTGTCAACATTATCTAGACCAAAATAACCACTAATATAATGTTAATATATCATAATAATGCAAGTACACCCTTTAAAATGCAACAAATAAACCTTCATTTAACATTGAAATGTCCAGAACCAGAACTTCTAAATGAATAAAAATAACAAACAAAAATTAAATAAAAAAAAGAATCTCACTCCCTGTTAGAAAATGTTGCACCAAAAACAATAAAAAAAGACCCAAAACAATAAATACAATGGCCTATCCATTGTCAACAGCCAAAACTGCACTTCAATAATGATAATAAATATTAATGATAATAGAGTTGTACATTTTTTAACTTTGATATATATATATATATATATATATATATATATAAATATTGAGGATGGAAAAATTATTGAGATGGGCATGTGACGTGTCAAAGGGTCTTTACATAACACCCCCACCCCAAATCCGCACAAGCCTGCTGTGTCCCCCCCACTTCTGAAATCAAAATTTCGTCCCTGGCCTCCATAGTCACGGTTTGTTTTATTACACAGGTGCACCAGTGGGCGTCCTGCGTCCCCAACACCTAAGGTGTTTTATGCAGGTTGAACATTATTATAGTAGCTGAACAGAGGTAGCCGTGAGACCATCTAAAGCTCAGCTTTTATGGATAAAACACACATGCACAAGTTATCCTGCAGGGCACGCGACAGGTGACCCATCTCAAACGCTCCAGATGCGAACGCACGTGTCAGAAATGCGAAGCGGACACGATTAGACTGGAAACACAGTTTAGCAGAGAAGCAGCTGCTGCCATGTTGTCTGGAAGCGCCGCCGCTCACTCAGCTCCAGCGGTTCAGCCCGATGGTCTCACACAGATGTACCCGGAAAACAGCGACACCAGACAGAAGTCTGCGTTTGCCCCGGAGAGCCCGACTTCTCACCTGACACGTTCAGCGCAGGAAGCTTATCGGAGGAGGAGAAATTACCTGAATAGCTTTGGGTTTTCTTTTTGCGCGCCCTGTCATTTTCTTCCTCTCGTCTCGTCTTCTTCTTCTGCAGATTGAAGACAGTGGTAGAGGGTTCACCGTGACGTCGTGCGTCAGCGCCCCCGTGAGGCGTGGCGGTGTAAACATAATCAATTTTACACCTAAAGACACACACACACACACACAAATATATATATATATATATATATATATATATATATATATATATATATATATATATATATATATATATATATATATATATATATAATATAAGAAAAAAAAAAAACAATAACAGTTAGTTTTAATAATTAAAATCATCCAATGAAAGGGAAAATACACATTTCTATGAATTAAGTTTTAAGTTGACTCAGCTGTTTAATTTAGACATTAAAAAAAATGAATGCAGTCTCATTTTAAAGCGTGGCTGGCCCCACCACGCTCCATTCTCATTAAATGTCTCCCTCTGCTGGTCGCCCCCCCACCCTTCACCACCTGCAGTGGGTGGAGCCACCAGTGACAGCTGTGCTGTGATAGGCTTCTCCTAGAGGAGGCTGCCATGACACACGGTGGATGCTGCACAGAACAACATCCTCAGCATCAGCAATCCAGCGCTCCTGCATCCTCCTCCTCACTGTCCCTCTCTCTCTCTTTTCCTCCTCCTTTTTGCCTCTCCTCCTCGTACCACCACCCTTGCTGTCTCTTTTCTCCTGCTCGTTCTCCCTTCCCTTCGACGGACACACACTCACACACGTCGAGGCCCTGCTTGAGCACACTGCAGCAGAGGGACGTGTACGGACACCAGCAGCAGGATCAGCAGCAGCGGGTGGACTGGTAGGTGAGCTGTGGCCTGAACCCCCCCCCCCCTCCCCTTCTTCCTGCAGCACAAGCAAGACAGCGCGTTCTCCTCTGATCTCTGTCAAGGACTATCTATCTGAGAAGTGTGTGTGTTTGTGTGTGAGGGAGACAGAGGGCTGGGAGGACTACCACACCCTGGGATCATTTACAACCTCCGGCACAGCAGAATGAATGTTTGATGTTTTTATATAATCTTTGCTCCATCCTTCTCTTCTCGCTGAATGCATGCAGTTCCCCTCGGATGGATCTGTGTTCTGTGTCTGCTTGTGATGTTTGGTTTCCTGTTTTAATTCCACAGTACATGAATTCATTCAAGCACATGTTAGCAAGAGCACTGAACATGCAACCATTTAGGAAGTTAACTAACTACATCTTTCATGTTTTCCTTTCCAAAACCCTCTTCAACATCAGGCCATCCACCCCTCTCCTCCACCTTCTCGATTCAATCCTGTTTATCTCTTTCCTCCCTCTTCCTTACACAACTTCTACTCCTCCCAGCTGGTCGCTTTTCCCAGGATGCCTTGCCTCAGGCCACTACGGTAGGCCCCAGCAGCATGGGCGGAGCCTGGGTGGGACGAGATATCAAAGATTGGACCCTTCCTCTTAGGACGGGTGTGGTGGCGGGTCACCTACCTTCAGCTTCAGATGGGCGAGGACGCTGAAAACCCCAAAATCAACCACACCTTCCTGCGAGACTACGTCACTGAAGGTGAGTTGGGTTCACCTCTAGGGTCGGATTAGAGTGACTGAAAAAGGAAACTTGGTTTTATTTTTTATTCTGACAAACTCTGATCTTATTTTGCATCTTTAAATTCTCAGGCTGAAGATAGAAATGTGGTTAGGAGCTTTAGAAATAAGATAATGTTTTTAGTGATTCTAAATTTTATTGATATTTTATCACAGGTTCACTGTTTTTTATGGATCTTATTTATGCTTTCTTTTGAATTGTATTTACTAAGACACCGTCCGGCCCCCCAAAAAGTCAACATCAAAAGAAAAGGTTCACACACTAATATTTCATTGGACCACCTTTAGCTTTGATTACAGCACACATTCGCTGTGGCATTGTTTCAAAAAACTTCTGCAACGTCACCAGATTTATTTCCTTCCAGTGCTGCATTCATGTTTCACCAAGATCTTGCATTGATGATGGTTGAGTCTGACCGCTGCACAAAGCCTTCTCCAGCACATCCTAAAGATTCTCATTGGGGTTAAGGTCTGGACTCTGTGGTGGCCGATCCATGTGTGAAAATGACGTCTCATGCTCCCTGAACGACTCTTTCACTATCTGAGCCTGATGACTCCTGGCATTGTCCTCTTGGAACATGCACGTGTCATCAGGGAAGATGGAATAACCTGGTCATTCAGAATCTCCAGGTAGTCAGCTGACGTCATTCTTGGAGCACATCCTGCTGCTGAACCTAGACCTGACCAACTGCAGCAACCCCAGATCATAATACTGCCCCCACAGGCTTGTACAGTAGGCATGATGGGTACATCACTTCATCTGCCTCTCTTCTTACCCTGATGCACCATCATTCTGGAACAGGGTCCATCTGGACTCATCAGACCACATGACCTTCTTCCATTACTCCATAGTCCAATCTTTATGCTCACTAGCAAATTGAATCCTTTTCCCCAGGTTTACCTCACTGATTAGTGGTTTTCTTACAGCTATACAGCTGTTTATTCCCAATCCCCTGAGTTCCCTTTACATTGTGTGTGGAACAGGGGCAGACTGAAAAACATCCGAGGCTTTAGTCCTAGTAGCCAGCCCTAACCCCACCCCTTGTGTGGAAATGCTCTTAGTTTCACTGTTAAGCATAGCCCTGACTTCTACTGTTGATTTAACCAAACGGGAAAGCACCGCAGATCACGTTCATTCTAGATTTTTTCCCCCAGCTACATTTCTTCCTCGAAGACGATGGGTCCCCACTATTCTTTCAGTCTTTAAAAATGCGTTGGACAGTTCTTTAACCCAGTTTGGGTCATTTCTACAATCTCCTTAGATGCTTTCTCTGCTCGATGCATGCCAACAACCCTGACCCTTCTCAAACAGACTAACATCTTTTCCATGACCACCACATGTGCCTTTCCACATGGTTGTTTAAGAAATGAGAAGCAACTCATTTCACCAGCTGGGGTTAAATAACTTGTCATTAGCTGAAAGATAATCGCCCATGCAATTTTCCAATAGGGGGCTCTTACCTCAGGCAGCAGTAGCTCACAAGGCTCTCTCTAACCTTAACCCTACCCTAACCCTAGACGTGTCCACCATCACCTCTCTGAGTTGCCCAGTAATTGGAGGGTTGCAGGTTGGATCCCAGCTCCCACCAGAGAATGCTGCTGTTGTGTTATTTGGCAAGGCATTCAACACGCCTTGCCTGCTGGTGATGGTCAGAGGGACTGATGGCGCCAGTGTTTGGCAGGCCTCGCCTCTGTCAGCGTGCCCCAGCGCAGCTGTGGCTACACAGCTCATCGTCACCAGGGTGTGAATGTGTGAATGACTGATTGTGTTGTGAAGCACCCTGGGGGCTTGTAGGACCCTAAGAAGGCGCTGCTTAGTTAAATCCAGATGTGTATGTTCTGTTTGGTTACAAATCTCCGGATTGAAGGTGTAGTTCTTCATTCTCAAGGACATGAAAACGTTGTTCGATAGAGCTTTGTTAATATGAGCTAGTTTTCTATCGACTTCCTGAGGATCTTTGCGGTGCTTTTTTCTCCTGGTCCACATGTGAGATGTTTTGGTCCTGAAGCTGCATGCTGTGAAACTAATCTAGATCCAGGGCTGCATTTTTAAATTTGAGAGGGCAAAACCACAGAACTCCTACTTAGTTTAATGTTTTAAATCCCTGTTTCTGTATTATGTTTTATTTGTGGGCCCTTAGATCAGCCGACCAGGTGCTTTGGGCCGGTTGTATGTTTGTTTTCTGTTTTTTAATGTTGTTTATTTCATATAATTTATCCATTTTATTATTGTAGATCACTTTGGTTTAACTTGTTTCTTTTCATTTTCATTATGGCTTCTTCAGCTCAGCACAATTTATTTAATTTCTCTGACCAAACTATGAATGTTTTGAAAGAGGATTCCTCGGGTTCAACGCAAAACATCTCGAGGACAAAAAAGGATGTATACTTGCACCATTTACCCTGTAGCTATAAAATATGTCTTGATGTTTTTATTCCAATCATCATCTCATTTTCTTATGTTCCTCCCAGCCGATGTCATCTCTACGGTGGAGTTTAACCAGACGGGGGACCTGTTGGCCACAGGGGATAAAGGTGGCCGAGTGGTCATCTTCCAAAGAGAGACTGAGGTCAGGTTACTAAGTGTCCAGCTCAGTTCTTGTATCTGAACACAGAGTGTTTAGTAAAAGTCGTGTTTTCGTCTCTTTCTTTAGTCTAAAGATGAGCTGGAGGAGGCAGGGGAGACGGGGGACTCAGGGGAGTACAATGTCTACAGCACGTTTCAGAGCCACGAGCCAGACTTCGACTACCTGAAGAGTCTGGAGATTGAGGAGAAAATCAACAAGATAAGATGGTTGCCACAGCAAAATGCTGCACATTTCCTGCTCTCTACCAATGGTGAGGAACATCCCAGCCTCTGTCAGAAGGTTCAGTCCACTTCCAGAAGGAATTGTTTTCAAAGAGATGTTAAGAAAAGGCATGGAATCGTAAAAGTTTTAGTAACGCATGTTCCAATGCAGCAAAAGTCCAATAATATAAAATTACATCTAATCAAGGCTCAGTATGGATGAATCAGTGGTGAATTGTCAACATCAAGCAAAAATAAAGAGTTCTAATATTTATTTGAACTGAGACCACATTAATTGATGAACTTCTTCCCACAGATAAGACCATCAAACTGTGGAAGGTGAGTGAGAGAGACAAGAGACCAGAGGGATACAACCTGAAAGATGAGGAGGGACATCCCAAGGACGTGTCCACCATCACCTCGCTGAGGGTAACACACACCTGCACACACAGAAACACACTTGTTTTCTTCAGTCAGCATTCAATGAACCATCAAGTTGTTTGTTCTTCATGATACATTTTTTGGGATCGTTCACTCTCACGCCCTCTGCCTCTGAGATTTCGTGAATGTCTGTCACACTTTTTCTAACTGCTGACAAAACATATTTTCAGTAATATTTTTCCGTTTAATATTTTAATCCAAGGTGCCAGTACTGAGACCAACTGATCTGATGGTGGAAGTCCGTCCCAGGCGGGTGTTTTCCAACGGTCATACCTACCATGTCAATTCCATCTCTGTGAACAGCGATGGGGAGACCTACCTGTCAGCTGATGACCTCCGTATCAACATGTGGCACTTGGACATCACAGATCGTAGCTTCAGTATCCTTTACAACCACAATGGTCGTTTAAATACTGATCGTGGTGTCAAAAACGACAGTTGTGTCGGTCCATTTCAGTCTCTCGTTGAGGTGAAAACTTCTCATTGGTTGTAAAATATGAAAATAACCAAACAGTAGAGTTTGTTTGGTTGGATTTGTGATAATCGGTTTCTGAAACAGAAAAATATTAAGCCTTGTGAAATAAACAGTCAGAAAGCTATGTCAGGAAGCCACAACTTGGACAAGAATCAATGAGGAGAACAATGAGTGAGAAGAGGACACTCTGACAATGAAAACCCAGAATGTTTATGGGCAGGGAGTTGAGAGTAAATAACTCAAGGAGGAAATGGAACTACAAGAAATACCTAATTAACAAAGTTCTAATTCATAACCTCTACAGAGACACTACACATATGATGCATGCCGTTCTGTGATAGCCTAGCAAGCCATCCTATATGTGAGAATATATAGGATGGCCACAGTCCATTGATGGTTCTGTCATGGGGCGGGATCTACGGTTGTCTTTCAAACTGTCTCCGCATGCTATTGGATAATAAACAATGTGACATACTCATCGCTATGGATACCAGTCAATGAGGCAGTCCACCCTGCTTTGTCAAATACACCCTTTTCCTAAATAAACTTTAGTACCTATATCAGCTCTTGAGTCACAGAAAAGACCAAATAAAAATAGTCCAAAGTTGATGCCAAAGCTGTTTCAAAAGAGTTTTCCCCGTCTTGGTATCATTAACATCCTGGCCACCAACAGAGTGCTGTGGTTGGCCCACCAAGCCAATAGAGCGCTGTGATTGGAACGCTACGGAGCAGTGGCCATCTTTGTTTCACACAGTCGCAGCAACATCCCACCCACTTGTGATTGGCCCACCAAACCAATAAAATGCTGTGACTGGACTGCTCCGGAGGGCTCTCAATGGGCATTCTGCCAGTGCATTGTGGAAGAACTACATAAAACACAAAATAATACTTTGTGTTTCTAAATAAACATGCTGTGATTGGCCAGCCACAATTCTGGCTGGAGCTGCGACGTTCCAATGGATTGTGTCTAGACTGTCATTTTTATTTGGGCAAATGTGGGTCTAGGTTCTAGGCTAACTGTGTGATGTAATCAGGTTTGTTGTCTTCAGCTCAGGCTGGGACACGTCACACCAGCTGCCTTTGGTGTTTTCCAATCCAAATGGAAGCTGACCTAGAAAGTCAGAGGCATCAATGTAAAATTAGTCTGAATAATTCACTCAGCCACTGAAGCACATAGGACTGAAACACAAATAGAACAAGGAAAAGAGTGTGCATCTAAATAACGGATCTGTAATGGGCATTAATGTTGTTTCATTGGATGAAGTCGCTGTAAAAAAACATACAAAGCAGGGATGTGTATTGTTGAAATTCTGGCGATACGATACATATCACGATATATTGCAATACATCCAGTCAGACGTTACAAGCAATTTTTTTTACTGAATTTATTGAAAGAATGCTCAATGAACAGTCCAAACTGATACGTACCATGTTTAACATGAGGTATCTGACCCATGATGGAGGGATTTACATTTCAATGGTGGAAACAAAACCCGTTGCACACTGCTGCCAACTAGCGGGTGGCAATTGAATTGCACAAAACGAAAAGAAAATACATTAATGTTTGCATGTAAATTCTTTCAAAGATTAGATACATGGCTTTTGAATATTGATGTAATAAACGCAGGAAAAAATATCACGATATATTGCCATATCGATATTTCCAATACACGGTTTTTGAATATCGATATAATATTGCTGGAAAAAATATCACGATATATTGCCATATCGATATTTTCTTACATCCCTAATACAAAGAGATTAAAAATAAACAAATACATTTCAAATGTGAATGTAATCTTCTGTCTTTACATTCCTTGATTGGACCTCCTTTACAGATATTGTAGACATCAAACCCGCCAACATGGAGGACCTGACGGAGGTGATTACAGCAGCAGAGTTCCACCCCCAGCACTGCCACCTGTTTGTGTACAGCAGCAGCAAGGGGACCCTGCGCCTCTGTGACATGAGAGCCTCGGCTCTATGTGACAGACACGCCAAACGTGAGTGGGTTGCTGCACCCGAGCTTTAACGAACAGATCAGTCTCAACAAGTTGCTTGGTGTTTCTGACTGCTCTGTGTTTAACTAGTTTTTGAGGAGCCTGAAGATCCAGGGAACCGATCCTTCTTCTCAGAGATTATTTCCTCTGTGTCAGATGTCAAGTTCAGCCACAGCGGGCGCTACCTGCTGACTAGAGATTACCTGACCGCCAAGGTGTGGGATCTGCATATGGACAAAGGTCCTGTGGAAACATACCAAGTAAGGCTTCTTTAGTTTCAGATGACATCTGAAGTCAAACATGAAACTCTAATGTTAGTGAAAAGTCAGATGTGGAAAACAAATCTAGCTCACAACAAAGAAAATTAGTCCTTACCCGTGTCTTTCTGCATTAGAGAGTAGATTAAAGTAGATTTAGAAATGTCAGACTGGCTGAACATGTCAGACAGGTAAGACAAAAATGTTTTGGGGTGTTTAAACAACTATTACTCAAACTTCCTTCCTGTTTTTCAAGTTTATAAACTACTTAGGATTGTTACTTAAATCCAGCCAAAATATCACAATCATTTTTGCCAAGATGTCAAAATGAAAACGGACCCAAACAAGCGAGCTGACACAGGATGCAGGTTCAAAATTAACCGTTTTATTGAAAAATGGCAGGCAGGACGACATGTCGGGAAGAGACGAGAATCTGACAAAACAAGCACAGAGGATTCAAATAAACGAGGATAATCAGGGAATCGGTGGGAAGGGTAAGTGCTGCAGGGGCAGATCCTGAGAAATTTAGGAACCAGACTATAGATCATATTTAAACTCATTACAGGAAATCACTTGAGAGGGAAAGATATTTTTATGTATAAGACCTAAAACAGCAGCTTATTGCATTGTAATAGTCAAAGGACCCTATAGCAAAGTCAGTTTCAATAAATCAATCAATCAATCAATCAATCAATCAATCAATCAATCAATCAATCAACCAATCAATCAATCAATCAATCAATCAATCAATCAATCAAAGCTTTATTTATAAAGCGCCTTCCGCAACCCTGTCAGGAAGCCCAAGGCGCTGAACATGGTACAGTAGAAGGTAAATATATTGAATAAATCAAAAATAAAAGCAATTCAAATTACAAAATACAAATTACAAAAAAGGTGAAACATTTTATACAGTTTATATAAATATTTAGTGACAAGGCTAGAGAGAAACCTGGAGTTTTGTTTGTGAAAAAGCTTTGAGCTATTGGGATGTTTTTATTAAGTTAAGAGCATTCCGGTAGGAGCACTTACTCTAAATTCTTCACAACACCTTTTTTTTGCCTTGAGCGAACGGGAAATGTGTGCCCCCTGCTGGAAGAAACTAGAACAACACTCTGGTTTCCAACATAATCTTCTTTTTCTGAAGTAATTAGGTGTTTCTTTACCTTCGGCTGACATGTTTCGAATGGAACTTCCGCCTACATCAGAGCCGCCAATTGGTCGTGGCGTCACTTCCGTTTATGTGCGGGCAGCAAACAGTGGCGTGTCCAGATCTATTAAAATGGGGTGGCCCAGGTGAGGCACAACTTTGTGCATGGGTGGCACCAATGGTTGTGCTTTTTTTTTTGTTTTACCCCCAAGCCTTTTGTGGACAATGAAAAGCCTATTTAAAGGTAAATTAGTGTGGTGGCACCTGGGGTGGCCATCCAGATTCCAAGGGTGGCATGTGCTACCCCAGGCCACTCCCTGCACATGCCCCTGCATCTATGCCAGGTATTCTGTTGAGTGAAAAGTTTGCGAACCACAGTTCTAATACACATGAATCTTCTTGCTTCCATCTTAATTCTGCTGTATTGTATGTTTTCTGTTGCGGCGAAGAGATGTCTGCATCTATCAATAACCCGTAGCATACGTGCTTTTCTCTGCAAAAATTTAATGAATTCTGAAGAACTACGTAAGTGATATTAACATTTCTCTCCAAGGATCTTTTTCTTTGGACTTTGGCTTCTTTTTCACCAACTTTCAGTTCAGTCTTTGTACCAGCATTGTGCCATATTCAAAGGAAAGTGAGCAAGTTACAGAGCCATGTCCAGGACTTTTAAAATGGGGTGGCCCATGTGGGGCACTTGTTCATGCATGGGTGGCACCAATGGTTATGCTTATTTATTTATTCACACAAATCGTTTATTTAGTTGTTTTTTTTTACTTTGTAGTGAGTTTTTAAGTTTCACATTGCACAATCACCATTTTTTCCTCTTCATCTTCTAGTTTTGTTGTGGTTAGCAAGTCACTTCTTGTTGCATTACTGCCACCAACTGGAGTTGAGTGGGACTCTAAATACTATTTACGTAAATATGAAAAAATAATAAATAATATTAATACTACAGAAATGTTCTGTAGGCCTGGGCTAGTAAACAATGTTAAAGGTGCATGCTACTACACTATTTTGGAGTTAACAACCCAAGCCTTTATTCGACGATGTAAAGTCAATTTAAAATGGAACTTGGTAGGGTGGCACCTGGAGTGGCCAATCAGATTCTAAGGGTGGCATGTGCTACCCCAGGCCACTCCCTGGACACGCCCCTGGCAGCAAAGAATGATGTTGCTCTCTGCTGCCCACATCATGTGTGATACAATGTGTAAACACCATCGTTTCTGTAAATAAACATCTAATTACTTAACTGTGTCAAATAAGAAGATAATTATGAATCAACACACAAAACAAATATACTGAATTGTTTCCAACATTTAGGACAGAAGGAAATATGGGGAGTTGCTTCCCTCTAGTGTCTGAAAGCTGGTGCTACACTTTTGTACCTTTGAGCAATTTTTATGGAAAATATTTAGCCTCCTTGAAGTAGCTGTCAATATATTTCTTTATTTGATGGCTTCATCTAGTGTCTGACAAGTGTATCACAACATTATCTACTTTTATTTCCGTCCGAAAGCAACACCTCTCGTTCATGAACAAGCTCCTCTAGCCAACAAAACAGAGCTAAAACACATAGCTTTACAAATATTATGCTCATGTTTTGTTATTATTGTTATGAATATTTATATTTTAAATACTTAATTTTCCATGAGAAAGGTCACCAACTCTGCATCAACCGAGGTACATCCTTTAATGCTTGAGCATGCTCTGTTGTTAACGTCTGTACGTAAGCGGTAGTCAAAAGCTATTGGTTAGTTCTGACTGGCACTCCGTTCATTGCATTGAGCTTTACGGGGCAGGGGGTGGGCTTAGCAAAAATGATGTATTTCTTACATTATTTCAATGTACTTGATAAGACATTCACTTTTATGTTCGGCTTTCTTCTTCCGGCTCTTGGAGAGTACAAATGCTATTTTCTCCTCTCCCTCCCTCTCTTATCCTAAAGCTCTTTGTCCTGTCTTTGTGTGCACGGTGCTTTCTGCATTATTTCTGGAAACTGGAAATGATTAAAAATGGACCAGGTCAGCTGGTCTCTCAACGCGATTGACAAAAGTTTTTCAATGTTGAGAACGGGAAAAGGGGCTCCCAGATGCCCCTCTGGGACAGAGCCAGCTGGGTATATCATGGACTCCTGGAAACAGTGGAACATGATTTGCCTCTCTCAACTGTCTGTAGAGGATTCTGAAGACGTCTGGATATTCGTTGTATTGGTGTCGGGATTCATGCTGTTTGGCCTGAGTGGTTACCCGGCTTACCGGAAAATTAACAAGCTTTCGAGGAATATTGGCTTAATCCTGGAGCTCAGGGATGGAATGCATCATGCTGTGAACTCACAAACTCATATCATTGTCGAGATGAGTCGTAAGTTTGGAACTTTGGGTGAGATTCAGGCTCTAACCCAAAAGGTGGATTCCATCAAGGACAGAGTTGTGGACGGATCAGCATGGATTGGGATAGATTAATTACACCATTATTGGATCTAGAGGGGTTGATGACAAACAGAACTGTAAGGCAGAGAGGAAATTATCTCTGTCTGTCCCAAAAACAATCCTTTGTCACGTTGAGGTGTGGGTGGCGGCGGACCATGTGTGGTGGAGCTGACCAGGAGGCAGAAATGCAGGCTCAGACAAAGTAAAATGGATTTAATGGCAGATAATACAGCGGGAACAACAACATACGACATTTGCCAAACTCACCAGGTGTCTGAAGGGAGAGAGTTGAGTACCCGGAAGTCTATTGCTGGGGACGGAACCGGATGTGCGGACGGAGGAGAAACTGGAGGCTGCTGAACAGAAGGTTCCGGAGGAGTTAGCTTAGCGGTGAGGTTGCATAACATGTTGTCCATGTGGAGTAACCGTTGGTGGGAGTCAGATAATTGTTCCAGCAAGCTAGTGGGGCGACGGTGGCACAGGAGTTAAGTGCTCGCCCCGTAACCGCAAGGTTGCAGGTTCGAGCTCCACTCAGTCTGTCGCTGTCGTTGTGTCCTTGGGCAAGACACTTAACCCACGTTGCCTGCTGGTGGTGGTCAGAGGGACCGGTGGCGCCAGTGCTCGGCATTCTTGCCTCTGTCAGTGCGCCCCAGGGCAGCTGTGGCTCATTGTAGCTCATCCCCAACAGTGTGTGAATGTGTGTGTGAATGGGTGAATGACTGATTGTGTTGTAAAGAGCCTTGGGGGGTTCTAGGACTCTAGAAGGCGCTATATCAAATACAGGCCATTTACCATTTACCATTTATGGATGGCGTGTTCATGACGGGAGAGTGTTTCAGAAACGGCAGGCGGGATGTTAACGGACGGATTGGATTCTGCGATGGAGTCAATATTTTGGCCGGATGATTCTGTCATGGTGGCTGGCAGTTTCTTGACCCACGACATGCAGAATCACTACACAGAGAACCAGTAAGTAAGTAAAAAGGTTTTTATTATTAAATGAGGAGCAAAGGGAGAGACGGGAACCGGCCAAGTGCAGGGCTGGCAGCAGGATTCCAGGAGGGGATTCTGAGGAGAGAGACAGAGTGAATATAAGGTGGAAGCAATGGATACTTATCTGGAGGCTGGGCTTACTGTTTCTTGGTAGTGGTGAAATGTACAGGGAGGGTTAGGTCAGGTCTGGGTAGGCTGAGGAGATCCAGAAGGTGAGGGAATTGATTAATCCAGAGGCGTAGAAGCAGGAATGGATGATGGGAGGTAGGAGCAGATCGTGACATCCTTATTTGAATCTGGTGCCCTTGGAGCCTGTGAGGCTGAAGTGAAAACTCCCACCTCAGAAGAAATGTGGAATGCGGCTGTCGCTATGGCAACCCTTCTCCCTATCCCAGCCTGGGCGGGCCTGTGACCGGTGAAGGCCGTGGAACCGTATCTAGGAGTCACTGTGCTCTCTAACCCATTATCTCCCTCCCCTGTCCAAACGGAGGTGAAACGCGCTGCTCTGCTGCTGCATGCACTGAAGTGAGGAGATACCCAACCCTACCTCCCCACCTAGTGGACACTTATGTTGTATAATGTCTGAAGTCTGTGTGCATTTCTGTCAGAGGTGTTTTTTTGCATAGCAAAGCTGCCCTCTCTGGTGAAGTAACTCTGAAGTGCCTTTTGTCCCCTCCCCCCCACTCTATCCTCATATAAACCCTCTTGGTCTATTACGGTAGCGCGACTCGGGTTGCGAATGACCACAGTCAGCAATTCTTGTCATGTGTGTATGTATGTATGTCTGATCTCAGAATTGGGTGTACTGAAACTCTAATTTCCCTCTGGGATTAAGTATTATTGAATTGAATTTTTGAAATGGGAAAATTAAAACATCAATTTTTTTTTTGTTTTTGTCCTCTTGGGAAATATAGAAGTAGGGAAGAGAAGGAGGAGTAGAAGAAGAAGAAGTAACTGGAATTATCAAGTTCCTTAGTAGAAACATTCCTCTAATTCTTCCAAACCTTGTTTCGTTGCCGTGAAAAAATGGGGAATTTTTGCCCTCTGCTGGCAAAAAGTAGAACAACACTCTGGTTTCCAACAGCATTTAGAAAAGAAGAGAACATGGGGAGTTTCTGACCTCTAGTGTCTGAAAGCTGCTACTATCCTTTGGCATTTTTTAAAGGAGTGGCAGTGAGTTTTGTTTATTCTCTGCATTTTTTTCTTACTGCTACTATTTGAATATGAGGTAGTTTTAATATTTGTATTATTTCATTTTTTATTTTCAATTTTAAAGTGAAATTGTTGTTAATTGTAGGCTACATAATTGGTGTGTTTTTATTATATGGTATACAGCACTTTGGGCAAGAATAATCTAAGAAGGTGGAATCCAGGAGGCAGCCAGGTAGTTTTAAAATATCGAGCAGGAGCAGGAGCAGGAGCAGGAGCAGGAGCAGGAGCAGGAGCAGGAGCAGGAGCAGGAGCAGGAGCAGGAGCAGGAGCAGGAGCAGGAGCAGGAGCAGGAGCAGGAGCAGGAGCAGGAGCAGGAGCAGGAGCAGGAGCAGGAGCAGGAGCGCACCCACACACAAGGAAATGACAGTGAGAGGAGGACTGAGCTGGGTATAAATAGACTGAGGGTGAGTGGAGACAGGGAACAGGTGTGATGATTACTGATTACAATGATGAGTAGGTGTGACTAGTTAACCGGGCACTGAGGGAAAAACACCAAGGTGAGAGAGAACTAGACAGAACAATAAGATGTGGGAACATAAGACACAAAAACTAAAAACTGAAATAATACACTAATCGGGGAAAAGCTAAATTAGGATGGCTGAGGCCAAAAGTAAAACATAACTCCAGCTGAACTAGAAAGCTGGGGAAATGAGCTAAACTGGGGCAGAGGAGTGGCTAAAGTATCTGTGGCCGGGGATGAATGTGAGGCCTGAATGAAGGAGGGGACCGGAGACTAGGGAGATGGGGTATGGAAGGGTCAGGGAGGACAAGGACACCCAGGGGAGAAACATGGAATGAACTGGGAGACGAGCGACACAGGACATGACAATGTTTTGGTTTCGATATTCCAGAATATTTTATCGAACAGTTGGCGTTTGATCACATTTTTGCAAGTTAGCAAATAAATGCTAGGTCCAGGATGTGGTAAAGAAGGAAATATGTTGTAACTTCACGGGACTTAACGATGACACAAGAATGAAGTAAAGAATAAGGAAAAAGAAGCAGTTTGATTCAGCCTGGATAGGTTCGTTTCTCCACTGATTGTTTTGCACACAAAAGGAAAGTGTCAGAAGGAAGAGCCGAAGGAACAGCCAGGACTTGAGCAGCTTGATGATCTAAATTGAATCAGAAACTGATGCTGACCATGTGCTCCGTCCTCAGGTCCATGAATATCTGAGGAGCAAGCTGTGTGCCCTCTATGAGAACGACTGCATCTTTGACAAGTTTGAGTGTGTCTGGAACAGCTCTGACAGGTGAGTAGAGGTAGAAACAACATCACAATGTTTCGCAGATTTTCTTTGCCGATCTGAAAAAAGCACTTAAAGGATCTCCTTTAATTTTCCCCTCTCTCTGGATCCAGCGTGATCATGACAGGGGCGTACAACAGCTTCTTCCGGATGTTCGACAGGGAAACGGGCCGAGGTGTGACCCTGGAGGCGTGGCGGGAAAGCAGTAAACCCAGGGCTGTGCTACGGACTCGGCGGGTGTACACCGGTGGCAAGCGTCGCCGTGGTGATGTGGGTGTTGACAGCCTGGACTTCACTAAGAAGATCCTGCACATGGCCTGGCACCCGTCTGAGAACATAATCGCAATTGCAGCCACCAACAACCTGTACATCTTCCAGGATCGGGTCAACGCTGACACACAGACGCAGTGACAGGAACATAAATGATGGTCGCTGCTGCCGCTCAAACTGTTACCTAAATATATTTGAATGTTAAAGGAAGGCATGTGAGGCTGGGAGCCTTTTAAAAGGGTGAGTCAGGCTGTGTCTCAACAGCACAGACTGGATCGGACCATTTTTCTGGTTTATTCTTTCACCGCTGAACGTGCACAATAGTTTTTTTTTTTACACAGACGGACTGATGTCTCAGATGGCTTGTATTTGTTGCACTCCCACTTTTTGAAGATGTAATTTTCCAGTCAGGAAGCAGAGTGAACAAGGTGCAGGGACACCTCTCTCCCTCTGCAGAGACACAGTGCTGTTAAATACAGCGTCGCACCGCTCACGTCTCGTTTCAACACAAAAAGTTCAAAGTGTCGGCTGCTACAAAACAAGTGAATGGATGAAAAGGCGTCTACCTGCAACAAATCTTAAGGTGGAACGGTGAAATTGTGGATCTGTTCACAAAGTCCTTTTGTTTTCTGTCCCTCAAGCTTCTGAATCTCTCCTCCTGAGCAATGCTCCAGGAGAACACACACACACACACACACACACACACACACACACACACACACACACACACACACACACACACACACACACACACACACACACACACACACACACACACACACACACACACACACACACACACACTACACATTTAACCAACTCAGCTCAGAAAACGTAGCACCTACAAACAGCACGGCTGTTCCCTATTTACAGTCGGTACCATAAATGCTCTTTTTACTGTTGTACATAGTCTAGCTTCCTTTTTAAACAAGTAACTGACAGGATTTGTTGCATCAGATTTCTTTAACAGAAGTTAAAGAAATTACGTCTGTGAAGGTTCTCAGTCATCCAGGTCATTGTGGTCTAAGGAGCTTAGAAAGAAAAGCATCTGGACTTCTTTGAGTTGCTTGAAGACGTTTCACCTCTCATCCGAGAGGCTTCTTCAGTTCTAAGGTCAAATGGTGGAGAGTCCCAGATTTAAACCCAGTGGTAGTTTCCCCCCGAAGAGGGAACAAAAGTACAGGACCCACACCCACCTGCACACCTTGGCTCATGTGTTTATGTAGAAGATCATCAGGGGGCCTTTTGTTCCCTCTTCGGGGGGAAACTCCCACTGGGGTTTAAATCTGGGACTCTCCACCATTTGACCTTAAAACTGAAGAAGCCTCTCGGATGAGAGGTGAAACGTCTTCAAGCAACTCAAAGAAGTCCAGACACTTTTCTTTCAAAGCTCCTTAGACTTAAACAAATTACATTCATTCAGAGATTTTCTGTAGCAATACATGTGAAGTTATTGAAGGAAGAGGTGTGTGTGTGTGTGTGTGTGTGGGGGGGGGGGGGGGGGGACACTTGTTGTGTCTGGTCGTCTTTATGAGCAGTGTGTTTTAGGTGAACTCATATATATATATATATATATATATATGCTTCAATTGAGTCTGATGGTGTTCAAATGCAGACAAACCTGAAATGGGTCTCGCTCATTTTCTATCCCATCAGCACATTTGGATGAGGGATCTCAGAATCACAGGCGGAAAGAGAAAACGAGCACGTTGTTTTCAAACGAGAAGCCCTGCTTCAGTTCATCAGAGATGTAATGTTCGTGTCTGTGGTGTGTTTAAGGGTTGGAGGTGATCGTCAAGTGCAATAGCTTATTATGTTTATCTTTTCATGTCCAAACAATAATATAATGTGACTTTATCGTACCGTATACCTCGCAGTGCTACATGCTAAACACACATCGTACAATAGGGCGATGCTTGAGTTGGACTAAACTCTGTTAAGACTCTTACAGGCTGGATCACTTTGTCCTTAAGTGACCTTGGTCCTGATGGGATTATTCTAAGTGGATCTGGATGCTAACCAGAAATAATAGAGCAACAAAACAGTTAAAGAAGTTGGGCATCTTTTTGTGCTGTTCAAAATTTTACACGTGAAGGGTCAGTTACTTTTCTTACACGACGATAAGCATTTAAATTCATATTTCAGCCATTTTAAAGTGTGTTTCTATTATTATTTAACTGTTGAGCTAATGAGCTGTCCAAAAGGAATTGCTTCTGTCTCAAAGTCGCTCCAGTCTTGAAAATCAGTTTACGCAGCAGACATTTTCATTTGATTTTACAATGAATGGCATTTTTAGCAGGAAGTTCCTGTCATATTTAACCCAGCAAATGATAAAGGTTAATAACTGCGCTGTGACACTAACGGCAACGTAAAGTTATTTCATAACAACTTTTTATGAATCTTTATGACATTTTGGAAACTAGATTTTTTTAAGACAGATGACAAACTCTCGGTCTTGGTTGGAATTGGACTAGCCGTTAGCTTGTCAGTTCTGAAGGACATTAACATTGTTTCTTCTAACTGAGGCTGATAAGGAAGCTGTCCACAGCTGTTAATCTTTACACAGAAACACACTCCAAAAGAGCTGAAATGCGTCTTTAATCCCAGGAAGAGATTACATTCCCACCCACTTCTCTGCTTGCTCCTCTTCTTTCTCCTTGTTTTGGAAATGCAGACACCAACTTGTGCAAACATGGTTTCACATAATTCTACATAAATGTCATGAGTGTCGGGCCTTCTGCAGCCTCATGCAGGACCCAACCCTCCAGTGTGTTTTAGTCAGCTGTAAATGCATCACCACCTGACTCCGTCGGCCGTGGGAGGACTTGTGTTCAGGATCACAACAGCAGCATGTTGCCACTACTCAAAGCTACTTGCGTGTTTATCTATCACGATAAAAAAATAAAAATCTAAATGTTCAAGGAAAAGAAATCTTACTCAAGTGAGGTGAATGAAAGGAATGTACATTAATAAAATAACATGAAAAACACGACTGAAATGTTTTGCTTTAAAAATATCGTAAGTTTAAAAGTCATCCATTCAACAGCTTTTCAATTTGTTCTTGTAAACGTTTTTATTCTGAAGTATCCAGTTTGTACAAGAAAGGTCAAAGGTCAGCTGTGGTGTTCCAACACTAGCTGTGGTTCAAATGTCTTTAAAAAGATTCAGTCCCATAAACACATCAACATGTAACACACACTTTAATTGTATTTACACGTCAGCTTCTTTCACCGACGCTTCCTCATTAAAAACAAATGATCCAAAAGAAAAACACTATTGTCTTACTGCCTAGTGCAGGGGTCGGCAACCTGTTCCCATCAAAGAGCCATTATTACCCATTTCCCACAGTAAAGAAAACACTGGGAGCCACAGCAGCCGCGGCGTTGTGGGCGGGGCCTACCCTCAGACAGCAGAGAGCTCTTTAACCAATCACAACAGGTGACAGCAGCCAGTACCGGTCGCTCGTGTACATCAAAGTTATCTTTCATGAGAAGATAATCAATAAAACGATTAATATAAAATGGATCCAGAAGTTGTAGCCCGTCTCTGCCTACAATATTTAGATATTTTTCACCCTGTTGGTGGTTTTACTGAGCAGGTGCCACTTTTGTCATACGTTTCTTTTTAAAACATGTTTAGACTGTTCAGAATACAAATCCAGGCTCTGTCACGTTTGATTGTTGTAATTAAACATTGCAGGTGGGGAAGGTCAGAAAAGGATCCGATCATTTTGTTTTTCCCTCATTTATAGTGACGGAGATAACGGGGCAGTATTAATCAAGTTAAATTAAATGTCTTTGCAACAATTTTCACAAGAAAACAGAACAGTTAAAAGCAGGGCTTGTGTTGTGTTGACCGGATAGTTCCCGTATTTGACCGTTTATTTTGACGGAGAAAGAATAGAAAGAATTACCCCGACGCATGCAGACAAACTGACATTTTATTCTACGCACATCGCAGATGTAGCTAAATCACCCAAGAAAATATTTCCTTCTGAACATCTGAGCTGGACAATGCTCAGCGCAGCTCGCTGTCAGCGCGCACGTAAGGTGCACAGCGAGCTGAAGATGTGGAGAGGGGCTTGGAGCACGTCGCAGAACCAGAGCGCATGCAGGAAGATTCCTCCGACTGAAGAGAGACTTGTCACTTAGAAAATGTTCCCTGATTATGAAACTTTGGCTGAATAGTGCTTGTTCCTGTCTCCAATGTGGCGACACATCCAGGAGCCATCTGAGGAGAATCCCAGAATCTCACATCCTTGTCAGCTCAGAACACGCATATGATTACGCACAAGCGTGACCCGTCAACCCGGTCTCACAGTAAGACCGGGTTGGACCTGTTCAGGTTTACGCAGACAATCTTTACATTTAGAATTAGCATAGAGATGTAAAATTAATGCAGTAAAATATAAAGCATTTTATTTAAATATCCATTCATTATTTTACAAGCACAGAGAGCCGCATCAGATGGATGGAAGAGCCGCATGCGGCTCCAGAGCCGCGGATTGCCGACCCCTGGCCTAGATGCTTTTTTACAAACTCAATATCAGCATGGATTCATTTTTATATGTAGTTATAATTTCTAATATAATACACTGGACTAAATGATAGATTCAAACTGATCAGGAAAGTATTAAATCAATAGAATAAAATAGACTTTATTGATCCCACAGTTGGGAAATTCACTTGTTCCAACAGCACAAACAATTAGAGAGTAATTTGAAGAAAAATAATAGCAAAAGTAAACATATAAACATAAGCAGTAAGCTATTATTGTAACCTTCAATCACTAAATGCCACAAATAAAAGCAGATGTTCTTTCTGAAGGAAGTATTTAGGGTTTAGTTAAAAAGTAAAGTGGTGTGGATTACAAATGCACTCAACAGCCAATTCTTCATTTGTTTCTGTCTGTTTTCGTGTTGTTGATTCAACCAGAGATCTGTATTAGATTTTTATTTTGGTATTTTCATTTGGAGTGAAAAATGTTCTGAAAACAACGGAGAGAGGAAGATTAAAATGTACAAATGAACTCAGTAACTCATAGAGATTCCACACCAAAGAAAATAGAAAACATGAACAACCATGCATATTTAAACTCCTGATGGTTAAGGACTACTTCTGAAACACACACAGTCCTTTAAACTATTCTCTTTATTAATAAACACATCACCTGTTGATCTACACTCACTGATCACTCTGTTAGGAACGCCCGTTGGGCTGCTTAATGCAAAGATCTAATAGACCAATCAAATGACGGCAGCTCACAGCATTCAGGCATCTAGTCGTTTTAAGGATGGCTTGCTGAAGATTGAACTGAGCATCAGAATAAAGAGGAAGGAGATGTTGAACATGACATAGTAGATAACACGAGGCAGGTTGGTCTGAGTATTTCAGAAACTGTGGATCTGCCGGGATTTTGAACCACGATCATCTCTAGGGTTAACAGAGAATGATCTGAAAACGACAAATATTCTGTAAGCAGCAGTTGTAGGATTGAAAACCTACTGCTGGTGTCAAAGATCAGAGCACAGTGGTCAGATGGGTTCTTTCAGACAGAAAGACAACAGCAGCTCATAATAACCATTGGTTCCAACCAGGTTCTGCCAAACAGGATCTCAGGACCACGGCGAGTTGAGCCATGAAGCAGATGGACTCCTGCAGTAGAAAACCACACCAGATGTCACTCCTGTCAGCTAGGAAGTGGAAACCTAGGCAACAACCTTTCTTGGTCTGATGAGTCTGGATTTCAGCTGCAACATTAAGATGGTCGGGTCAGAATACGGCGTCACCAGCACGAAAGCATGATACAATCCATAAAGAAGATGTTCTGGTTCACATTGGACACCTTAGTCCAGGGATATTCAATTCCAGTCCCGGAGGGCCGGTGTCCAGCACGTTTTAGCGGTTTCTCTGCTCCAACACACTTGATTCAGTAGTTGAATCACATGTGCAGAAGCCTGCTAATCACCTGCATATTGAAACCAGGTGAGTAGAAACAGATTTGAACTGAATACTCCTGCCTTAGTCCCACCTGTGCCTGGTTTAACCAGCTCTGTGGCCTGTGAGTGTCTGCCCTGAGGCGGGAGATCGTGGATTCAAATCCATGGCCGGGTCATACCAAAGACGTTTAAAATGGGACCCAATGCCTCCTCGTTTGACACTCAGTATTAAGCTTGGTTTATGCTTGACGCGTCCGCGAGGTCCGCACGGCTCCGCGCGGCGAAATTGCGTCATTTTAACAACCACGCCCCTCCACCGCGCCTCCGCACGGCCCAAAATTTCCGCAACGCGCACCTAGGAAAATTTCTAACCACGAGGACGGTCGGACGCGGAAAAACATGGCGGACCGGCAAGAACTAGTATGGCAGAGGTTCGTAAATACAGACATTTGTATGATTCAGCTCTCAGAGATCACCGTGATCAACATGTTGTTAATAATTCTTGGAGAGAAATAGCTCGCACTGTCGGAAAAGACGAGGACGCTGTTAAAAATGCTGAAATACCATGTTGTAAACAAACATTTTTACTTCTACTGTGGTGTAGTGTTGGATGCATGCCGTAGAGCTCCATGCTGCCCCCTACAGTTTGGGAGAATATTGGCTCACCGCAGAGACAAGCCGCATGAACCATAAACGCTGCGAGTTGTGAAGCGTGTTCCATCCGCGAGCCGCACCACCAAGCGGAAAGTGAATGCGTCAAGCATAAACCAAGCTTTAAGGAGTTTGACCACCAAACAGTTCCTGAACGCAGCTGTCTGCAGCTCACTGCTCCCCCAGGGGATGGGTCAAATGCAGAGAAAAGACGAGACCTGAGTATTGTTGCCGACCATGTCCGTCCCCTTGTGACCACACGGACCTATCTTCTGATGCTAAGCACCCCATCACAAAGCTCAGATCATCTCTAACAGAACATGACCATGAGTTTACCAACATCCTCCACAGTCACCAGCTATCAATCAGAACCTTTGGGATGTGGTGGAACAAGAAATGCACATCATGGATGTAACTGTGTGATGTCATCATGTCAACGTTGACCAGAACTGCTGAGGAATGTTTGTTGGATCTTTGAAATGAAGAATTAAAGCATTTATGAAGGTAGAAGAGGATTCAACCCAGTCCCAGGTGGGTGTGTCAAATAAAGTGGCCCATGAGTGTTTATCAGATCGATTTGTAAACCAAACTTTAAATGAAATGGGTAGCATTATAAAAACATCACAATAAAAGTGTCCAACGTTCTGAAGTGATCCCATCTTGTTTTTCTCAGGCAGGGATTTTTGCTGAAAGAAACGGTGAAAAGAAAAAGTCAAACGCAAACTTCAGGGCTCTCATTGTGTTGCGCCTCCAGTCTCTTTCAATTTTCACCTGCCGCCCTCCAGTCAGCCTAGAAGAATCACAATCTAGACAGTGAATAGCCTTGAGCTCAAAAGTAGGAGCTTTGGCTCCTAAACGACCTTCCAGTTTAGTACAAAACTCCACTTTGTTACCAGGCCTCAGGTTTAGCAGGACCTGTCTGAACTCATGGCTGGCCATCAGGATTATGTCCCTGGCTGCATCTTCTGCTGCTGCACGTCCATCTTGGACGATGCCGACTGTCACCTCGAATCGGTAGCTGTCGAAACGCTTGACATGGCAGGAGTGTTTGGCCAAAGCCTTGACCTGACACAGCTCTTCCTCCTCCTGCATTCTGAGCAGCTCGGGAAGAGAAACCGAGTCAGGAGACGAGCCGTTTACCACTTCTGAGTTTGGGAGGTTTGCCAGCGTGACGTTCTTTGCCTCACACTTTGGATACGTTTCACCGTACAGGCAGCGCAGCCAGTCCCCCATGAACACTGGCAAAATGTTTATGATGGACTGGGCTCCGTTCTCTGTCTCGGCTATGCGGGCGTGTTTAAATTGTCCCACCCAGGTGACTCTGTGTCCATGCAGGTGGCTGCAAAAGATCTGAGTCTGGGCCATGCCTTTGGTTTCCCAGGCAGGAGGCCCACAGGCCTGGCTGTACTGGCTCCAGGTCAGCGTGGAGTTGTACACTTTCTGCCCTTCTGCGTGATACACGTACACCGAGAACAGCAGGATCACCATGGAGATGCAGAGTAAGATGAACTTGACTGGACCCCACTGTGTGAAAGAGCGAAAAACATCCAGGATGGACATGCTGTACCGCGTCCAGAGCCGCAGAGTGACAGGGATGGCACAGATGGCCAAGGTGACGATCATCTTGGTCAGCTCTAGCCCAAGGAACCACTTAAAGAGCTGGATGAAGAGCATGGTGGCGAGGCCGAAAGCCAGGACGGGCAACGCAAACAAGAAGAGAAAGTACGCCACACAAGTCCGGATTAATCCCACGGCAGAGGAGTTTTGGAGGAGGACCACGGAAAACTCACACCACATGAAGCACACCAGATAGGGAATCAGGAAGCAGTACGTCCCCCGGAAACCTCGGGTTGTTGCCATGCTGAGGAGAAGGAAAATCAACTTTAACACTGAGTATTTAACTTAAAATGTAAAAATCCAACATGATGATATAAAAACTCTGCTCACCTGAAGAACAGGTAGAACAGGTAAACATAGAGGAGGCAGGGTAGACTGAGCGTTAGAACCACAGACTCTCCGAGCGGCAGAGTGGTGAAGGTCCGTCCCAGGAAACGAAGCGCCGTCATATTCCCTGGCAGGAGCTGGGTCAGGCTGCACAGATTTGAGGCAACCTGAACAGAAACCAAGATAAATATTGTTTCATCTCACAATCAAAAAACAAGATAATATTCACGTCAAACTTTTGTGATCTATTTTGAGAATGTATGTGTAGCTGTAGGACATATTTGGGCTATCTTGTCTTCTTCAAAGTCCTCAGTTAGAGACAAAGTTGTTACCATTCTCTAGGATTGATAAGCTAACTGCTAGTGTGATCCAGCCAAGAGCAAAGTGTGTTGCTGATCTCTTAAAACAGCTCCAATTCCCAAAATGTCCTTGTTCTTCCTGCAAAATATTGTTTTATAATGGTCATTTGTACATAATTTTCTGGTTATTTATGGTATTTGTTTACTCTTACAATACTTTTAATTGTGCCAGGCTGATGCATGATTGCAGAAGTACCCCTGTGGTACTTTGACCAAATAAACCTATAGCTGTCACCTCTATGAACATTGCTCTGCGTGCATATGCTGCAGCAGCTGGGCTCAGGCTGTGGTAGCTAACAGCCGTGAAGAAGATGGCCACAGTGGAGAGCTCAGAACAGGGAATCCACTTCTTATCAGCCACGGGGAAGGAGAAGATGACAAAAAAGACAGAAAGGATAAAATATAGATATTGCTCTAGGTTGTTGTAGCCAAAGTTGGTCTCCGCCTGCTCCACATCAAGGCCAGGTTCAAAACGAGACAGCAGAGACGTCAGGGCTCGGAAGTTCTCCCAAGTCTGGGAAAAGGGAAGAAAATTGTTCTTCGGTCACAACTATGGCGGTGACTGCAATCAGATAAATGATCAACAGGCAAAAAGTGTTTTCTCATCAAAATCAGCTCAAAGAGAATTATGGCATGAGTCATGTAATCCTTTAATGAATGATTGGTCTTTAAAGGTGTGGTTCACTGAAAAACTATTTTTAACTCATTCACTGCCAATGATGACTAAAGTTGTCATTTGCATTTTTTTTTACTGTTTGAGCATCGGAACGAGCCCCCGCGCTGAGAGAACAAACATCTCAGCCCTGAAGCCGATCTTCATCTGCGTACATCACATGTCACATGATCAGGAAGCAACACATCCATGTGTTTGGAGATCGTTTTGGGCCATTTCTGAAAAAAAAAAAGAGGCGCGAACCGGAAAAGCGTCTGCCGATCACAATTCGACAACGGATTATGAAAGAACGGATAACACTCGAAACACGCGGACTCTTCCTGATGTAAGAGGTGAGTCTCCTCTTTGTTTTGGTTGTTTTGGCATCGACATCATGCTAGCGTGCAACGTTCTGTGACTCTTTAAAAAAACAGTAAAAACGGTGAGAAACGCTGGCAGCGAAGGCCGCTAGTGATCAGGAAACGGATGGCAGTGAATGAGTTAATGATTATTTGTGATTATTATCGGTCACTCTGAGTTTTCCATGCAGGCTGAAGATGAAAACAGTCTTCTACACCTATCTCATACAATAGCTTCTGATAGAAAATAAATGGTGAACTGCTAGGATTTGAAAATCCTCACATATCTATGTCACACTGTGAATTTGCATTCGTGGCCTCGCCCATCTTGGCTTGCGACCCACAGGAGGGCTTTCTTTTTTTGCAGCAACGAGAAAGAGCAGAAAGTTTCTTGGTGATACTGACTTTCAAACATGGTTGAGCGCGTCCTCTTAGCCAATCAGAAGCAAGGTGTGTGCATATCATTAATAATTATGAGTAACCCGGCTGATTTCAGCCCACCTCTGCACCAGCTAACTTCTGCATCTCAGAACAGGAGCATCGTAGCTTTTTATTTGAATGACTCATAAGGTGTTGGTTTACACTAGAGAACACTGCAAATGCACTGAATAAACAAGTAAACCACACATTTAAGTTCAGTGAAGTAACAAAAAGAAAATAACAGAAAACTTTAAGATGAACCTTGCTGCTCTGGAAGATTCTCAGGGTGCAGATAATCATGGAGACGAAGGAGAGGTAGAAGACGAGCAGAGGGATCACAAAGGCAAACAGATCTATGGTCAGATTGCTAATGATGAAGAAGAAAATGAGTGCGTTGACGTGTTGCGTCGGGATGATGGTGCTCAACCACAGAACACCAGCCCGGGAGGTCCAGTCAACAAGGTGCTCCTTCATCTCAATGAGTGCATGCAGCGGGTACTGCAGCATCTGAAGCACAGAAAGGAACGTGAAGGTTACTTCAACAAATTCAGCCTGAATTCATCAAAAACACATGAGTGAGTCAAAATCTGAGTTTGAATACCATCAAGCCAGACTTCATGGCGCCAGTCTGCTTGGTGTCCAGCATCATCCCACTGCAACTAAAACTCCAAGGCTGTTTATGGAGCTTCCTGTTTCCTTTTGAGACAACCTCGGTCTTGTGCAAAACACAATCAGAAAAATGCTTCAAACCAAAACTCTGGTTGAAATCATTCCTACAGGTGAAACTCAAAAGTTAGAACAAGTCATTTATGTCAGTAATCCAACTAAAAAGGTGAAACTGAGATAGACTCATGACATGCAAAGCCAGACATCTGAAGCCTTTGTTTGTTATAATTATTATTTGTTATGATCGCTTACAGCTTATGAAAACACTAAAATCTCAGAAAATGAGAAAATTATGAAAAGGTTCAGTTTTCTAGACTCCAATCAGCTAATGAATCCAGAACACCTGCAAAGGGTTCCTGAGCCTTTAGATGGTCTCTCCGTCTAAGATGAATCACTTAGGCAGCATGTTCTAATTTTTCCAGGTTCATCTGTAGATCTGCCGTCTGGGTGTGTGTTTGTTACCTCCTTTCCACTGCCAGTTGGCACAGTTTCTATTTTGTCTGAGACCTGGTTGCTCTTTTGAGGCACAGGTGGGACGATACCGTCTGCGTACTTTTTCGTCATCTCAACAAAGTCATCCAGGTCCACCAGCTGATTAGCTGTGAGGACAGAAGTTCTTTTACAAAACATGATTGAAACAACTTTAAGTCATTGTCTTTCTTTTTCCTGATACCTACAATCATTGCTGACCATGCTCTCCAACACTTTCTGGGTTTGGCCTGAAGTAGGGACAGGAACTTTGTTTGCAGCGACTCCTAGTTGTGAGAAAATACCACAATATCTTCCCAATGACTTTGCCTAATGTTGGCCTGATGGGTTTGGGTTAGGGCCCTACCTGGCACGGCGTTGACCTGGCTGACGTTCTGCAGCATCTCAGACACAGCCACCTTCTTCTTCCTGTCTGGGTTGAGCCTCCAGTACATCATCATGGCTGCTTTCCGCACTGCCAGCTCAAACCTACTCTCAGTTGACAGCTTACGCACGTCCGCCTCATTCTCTGGAGTGATTCCTGGTGGGAGATGGCAGATGGTTATGCAGCTGTTTAAATAAAGACACAAAGCTGTGTGTGTGTGCGTGTGTGCGTAGGTGAATTTAGTGTTTAACCTTTTTTCTGGATCCAGCACTGCCGAAGCAGTCTCGCTGCAGTCCTTCTTCCCTGTTTAGCTGCTTTAATCAGCCAGTTAACAGCCTGGCTGTTGTTGACATCTGTATCCTTCTCATCAGCGAGAATCAGGTAGTGCTGACCCAGCTGAAAGGTTCAAGGTGGAACAATGGCTTCAGCTTTTAAAAGAAAGTTTACAGATGTTTTAAACAGCTGCATCAAGTGTAACATTTAAGAAGAAGCAAACCACAAAAATCCCATAGAGTCACCTCTTCACCACTCCACGAAAGACTGCATTAGAAAAATCAGAGTTAATCAGCCTAATGTTAGGAAGGTCTAGTCTATTATTAACTAGAAATTATAGCTTTAATCAACTCAGAAAACAACCAGAAACAAGTCAGACTGAACTTAAGACAAAGGTTCAAGGACAGATTAGATGACTGTAAACAACAGCTGCAAAGCCAAAGAACAAGGTGCCTTTTTAAACAAACCAAACTATATTTGATCAATATTTCTAAAAAAAATAAACAAATACTGAATTAACATTTTTGAACCCTCCCCAAAAAACATATTCAGACAGAAATGACATGAAACCATACCATACCATACCATACCATACCATACCATACCATACCATAGCACACCATACCATACCACACCATACCATACCATACCATACCATACCATACCACACCATAGCATACCATACTACACCATACCATACCGTACCATACCATACCATAGCATACCATAGCATACCATACTACAGCATACCATACCATACCATACCATACCATACCATACCATACCATACCATACCATACCATACCACACCATACCATACCACACCATAGCATACCATACTACACCATACCATACCATACCATACCATACCATAGCATACCATACTACACCATACCATACCATACCATACCATACCATACCATACCATACCATAGCATACCATACCATACCACACCATACCATACCATACCATACCATACCATACCATACCATACCATACCATACAATACCATACCATACCATACCAAACCATACCATACCATACCATACCATACCATACCATACCATACCGTACCGTACCGTACCGTACCGTACCGTACCGTACCATACCATACCATACCATACCATACCATACCATTGTCATGATCCACCCCGGCCTCCCTGACTGTGTCTCTCCTGCCTTGATTACCCTTATTGTTCTCACCTGTCCCTCATTACTCTGCCCATGTGTTCCTGATTCCCTTGTGTATTTATACCTCCCTCCTTGTTGCTGTCTTCGTCGGATCATTGTCGTTTTGTGCATGTTAGTTTGTCCTGTTGCTCCCAGTCTACAATTAAACCATTTTTTTTTTATTTTTTCATCCGTTGCCTGCTCTTCTGCCTCCTGAAACCCACCACCACACATGGTCTGCCACCTCCACCCGCAGAACATGACAACCATAGCATACCATACTACACCATACCATACCATACCATACCATACTACACCATAGCATACCATACCATACCATACCATACCATACCATACCATACCATACCATACCATACCATACCATACCATACCATACTACACCATACCACACCATACCATACCATACCATACCATACGATACCATACCATACCATACCATACCATACCATACCATACCATACCAAGTTTATTTATAAAGCACATTTAAAAACAGCATGGCAGCTGACCAAAGTGCTGTACAGTAGTAATAAAAAGGAAAACCCCCAGATAAAAACAAGATAAAAATCATATAGGAGATAAACGGAATAACCTAAAAATTTAAAAGAAACATACTAGAGTAAAAAAAAACAGAGACAATAAAAACACAAAAACAATACAAACTTGGTCATTGATCAAAAGTTAAATGATAGAAGTAGGCCTTCAGTACAGACTTGAATCAACCCAGTGACGGGGCCTGTCGAACACTAAGGGGGAGAGCATTCCAAAGTTTAGGAGCAGCGAACGCAAAGGCCCGCTCCCCTCGAGATTTATATTTCATTTTTGGGATGCACAAAAGCAAGTGATCTGCCGATCTCAGGTTTCTGGTTGGAGCATAAGGCTTGAGTATTTCTGACAGATAAGCAGGGGCTTGACCATTTAGGGTATTGTAAACAAAGGTTAAGACCTTAAACTGGATACGATATTTAACAGGCAGCCAGTGCAAGTGTGCTTGGACAGGTGAAATGTGACAACGTCTAGAGGTGTTTGTCAGGAACCTAGCCACCGCATTCTGTACTCTCTGAAGATGCTCAATTGCTGAGACACTGACACCAATAAGAACTGAGTTGGCATAGTCCAAACGTGAGGTGACAAAGGTGTGAACAACAGACTCCAGATGTGGTCGTTTGACTATTGACTTTAAACGTGAGATGCGACGTAGTTGAAAAAAAAAAAACAAGACCTGACTGTAGCGTTAATTTGTAAACTCATTGACAGATCAGAGTCAAGTTTCACTCCCAGACTGGTTACACACGTTTTCAAATTTAAAAACAGTAGAGGGAAGTCACCAGGTGCATGCTTTGGATTTATTGGATTAAAGAAAATGGCGTCGGTCTTGTTTTCGTTAAGGCAAAGGAAGTTCTCTGACAGCCAGCCTTTATCTGCAGTAATACAGTCGACGAGATGGCGAGTTGAGTCAGGTTTACTTAAAGCCAAATAAATCTGGCAGTCGTCAGCGTAAAGGTGATAACTTTATTCCAAGGTTTGCTAAAATCATACCCAATGGCAATAAGTAAATCGAGAACAGGAGTGGCCCCAGAATCAAACCCTGAGGCACACCCCAGCGAAGTGGCATAGATGGAGAGGAAAAGTTGTCAATGTGAACACTGAATTGCCTATCTGACAAATAGGACCTGAACCAGTGAAGTGGGGTCCCTTTCACCCCCACCCACAACTCCAGCCTCCTAAGTAGGATGTCATGGTCCACTGTGTCGAAGGCAGCAGAGAGGTCCAGGAGTAACAGAAGGACATGGGAACCAGTATCAGTTGCCACCAGGATATAATTTGATACATGATGGTGTGCAGTTTCTGTGCTGTGGTGAGGCCTAAAACCAGACTGAAAGTGGTCAAGGAGGCTTTGATCTCCCAAGAAATTGGAATGTTGAGTGTGGACTACTTTCTCAATAATCTTGGATAAAGCGGGAGTTTGGAAATCAGATGATAATTAGGAAGATCAGTATGATCTAGGCCAGGTTTTTCCAGTAGTGGATGTATGACTGCCTTCTTAGAGGTGGTTGGAAACACTCCAGTCAAAAGGCTGCTGTTGACAATTTCCAGAATAAATGGCGCACAACCTCATTACATTTTTAGAACATTATGGTTATAATTTAGGTGTGAACAAGTGAACAAATGGAGCCATGTGTGATTTTATCCATAACTTGCAGGTTTTTTTTTCGTGATGACCTGTAGAAAGCAACTCTTCCCAGTCAGATTCTTGCCTCACCGGACTACAGAACCCATAATCCCACTGTGGCTGTCAGAGTTCCTGCTCTGACTAACTAACAGGGGCAGCTGAGGCCGAGCAGGCAGATCAAGTGTCTGTTTTCTAATCTTAACCATCGCCACATATCTTTCTCCTCACACAGCTATAAACAAACATCTCCTCGTCTTTGAACATGCGCTGCTTCAACGATACTTTTCCTTTTTTTATCTGCATGTAGACAAACATCATGAAATGTTCATGCATGGCAGATATTACCAAAAATATTAGGATTAACTAATGAAGACTGCCTTCCACTAGTGTGTAAGTGTGTGTGTGTGTGTGTGTGTGTGTGTGTGTGTGTGTGTGTGTGTGTGTGTGTGTGTGTGTGTGTGTGTGTGTGTGTGTGTGTGTGTGTGTGTGTGTGTGTGTGCTGGTTGTTTGTAGAATACCCACTAAAACAGAGCTCTTGTCTGACTGGATTGCTGATACTGATGTACCTTGTTCCAGTCTCTTCCAGCAAGTTAAAATAAACACCAAATGGTTCTAAGGATTCTTCTTCTTCTTCTTCTTCTTCTTCTTCTTCTTCTTCTTCTTCTTCTTCTTCTTCTTAGCAGTAACTTTCAGTATGATCAATGCCTCAAATGTAGCTATAAAATATTCAAAGATGAAAAAAGTAAATTTTTTTTCATGTATTTTTAACTTTTTATTAAAGAGCAAGTCACCCCTACAAGAAACTTACTTCACTCCCACTTCATGTTTGAAAAATGCAACAAATGCCGTTGCTTGGCAGACCGAGAGGGCGGAGCCGCTAACAAATACAGACACACACAGGCTCACAATGGCATTATGACATCATAATGTAACAGATGACATCATAGCATACCTCTTAGCCAATAGCGGTGGCAGATTTAAATTCAAATACAGTGCAGAATTTTTCCCTGACGACGGCGCAACACTGACAGTTTTAGGCAGAATATTTGAATTTTAACCAAGATGCACTGAAGTGCCAAATTATTGACGACACATGTCTGTAGCATGATTAGACACTCCTTTATATAGTTTATCAGCAAAAAAAGTGATTGGGGGTGACTTGATCATTAATTTAATTTAATCTTTACATTTAGGGGGTCTGAACTTCAAAGGATTTAGATTACATGGATAATCACTTAAATATCAGAGGTGGTAGCTCTATTCATGCTGTATTTGTCTCTGATGACTGATAGTTATGAGTCAATCAAGCATTTGTTTATATTTAGTGTGAATTCTGCACATGTGGATTGTTTTCTTAATGGTTTATAAACATGGCTGGATTCTATGTGTCACACTGGAATCCTGCTGGGTCGACTTTCGCGCTGCAGAAAATAGAAACACACTCGCACCATGACTGAGTCAGCCAGCAGTACTCACAATGCCTAGAGCCAGTCAGGACACGTGATTCCACTCACCCGGGTCTGAGCCCTGGCGTCGCCCATGCTGGCCTTCTCCTCCAGCAGCTCCACACTTAGCTCTTCCTCTGGTTCCTCGTCTGATGAGATAAGACACTAAAATGAGCAAATGTCCTGAATGATCTCATTCAGTCCCTGTTTTTAAATTCATGGGTCCAGAAAACCCCCTTTTGTTGGGTCACCCCTCACCAGACACGCTTCTTATAACTTGTACAAGAGAGTTAAAGGTGAAAGAGATGTTTGAGTTTGGGAATTTAGTTTTGTTTCTGTTAAATGCTTCTTGGAAAATGAACATGAGTACATGGCCACAATCAAAATGATTCACATTAAGATTAACAGACGATGACGGCAGCTTTCTGAACCTCTGATCTTATGTGTCTTTGTGTTTAACCAACATGTTCTCAGCCACAAAACTAATGTCATGTTCACGATGTTCAACAAACATTACCAAAAAGTCCCTCAAGGTCAATGGTCTCCCCTCGGGATCCTCGAGGACCAATGTCCTGCATGATTCAATCACGTTCTTGCTTCGACCCTCATGATCCAATAATGACCTCTTTAGGCCTCAACCTTTGCAGGAGCCTGTTAAGCACCTGTTGGTTTGAATAGCTGTGTTGGAGCGTAGAAACACCAAAAATATGCAGCATGGTGGCTCTCAGGAACATTTGAATCAAGCTGAGTTTCAAACCAGCCATTTGAACGTGGAGATTTTTACTGAAAACCATAAATTCGGATTTTTTCTGGTTTGCAAATTTTCAGAAACCCAGAACAGAAGAATAGATTCAGCGAGACGCTTCAGCAGAAGGTATGTAGAGACTACAGCTTGACTATGGAACATGTAACAGCGAACCATCAGTCTGGGTAATCAGCACAGCTCTGACTACTGCACAGCATCACTGCCCATCATTTGTTTACTCATGCATTGTTTGTTCTTAATTCAATGTGCAATTGTTTGAAATGCAAATATGTGCTGCAACAGTCAGTATAAAGTTTCTCATGACGTGCTGTAATAACAAGCATCATTTTATACTTTATACATTTTATTTTTTTTATAAAGCTAGAATGGGGATTTGAATATATTCCCATACATTTCAAACATGATGTAAAAATTATGGAATCGGTACTCTATTCTAAACATTTGTTTGAGTTCAAAGGGTTTGGGGGGCTGGGCTTATAAGCTTATGCTTCTGCCTGCACCCATGCTTAGCATTGTGTAAGTTGTGTGTTTGCTTGTAAACCTGCAAATGTTTCTTTGTTATATTATATTGTACTATTGATTTTAATTTATCATTTAATTTAATTTAATTTCTCATACTTAGATTTTCAGTTTTTTCAACATAACAAACAATTTTTCCTGGATAATATTTTTTGCAAGTGCAAATGCTGACCTGACCTCAACACCACTCACATCTTAAGCAATTAAGTGTTGTGTAGTTTTAGCTACATGGTTATTTTAATCATTATTTTTAGGCTATGTCCTGCTGTTGTGTTACTCTCATTCAGAACTTTAGTTTCTCTTTACTCAGATCGACTCCAGTTTTCCCCACCTGCAGGTTGAATGTTTCCTGTGCCAGCAAACACGAATCGCCTAATGCTAGTTTCTACAGATTCCTGCTAAAGTTTCATCAAGGTTGCAGAAGCAAGAAAACCATTTTCTTGATGCCCTTCAGACCTTTTATGATGGAACAAAGTGAATTTTCCTGATTAGAGAAAAACAAAGGATCAATTCAAGCTTTCATTCGTTTCTCGTAGATGTGGATGCAGACGCATCGGCAAACAGTTTGAATGTTTATTAAGGTGTGTTTTTTTGCAGTCACAACACATCAACTCTAAACCTGTGATGTTCCTGAGCCGAGGTGAGTGACATCACCCCCATCTCACTCTATCTGACTGATCTTCCACAGGTGACAGCGGAGGGGGCCGCAGCTGCAGAACATCTCCAATCAGGGACGCGGGTATGAAAGGCGGATGGTGACACCTCATTACGCCGGATGATTGCTCCTGTATAGGTAGTCCCAGCCACTCGTTCTTGTTTTGTGAACTCGTCACTCGAATATAGGATATTTTGGATTATTGAACTTGGACCTCTCTGATTACTCTTTGGATTACCCTGAAATCTGGATGTCGTTTGTTCTCTCCGGAATCCCGTTCAACCTGCCTCAACTTGCTGTTTTACTGACTGGACATTCACACCACGTCCCATCATCCTCCGCTGTGCCTGGTTGGATCCCTTCCGCTGTCTAACCTGTTTCCTGATCACCCCTGGACTGACTTGAGCTCACCTCGGCTTCCTCACCTCGTTCTCCCCGAACGTTTATGGACTCGAGCTACTGCTCACCCTCTCCACAGGACTTCCCTGTGCACCTTTTGTTCCAGTTAATAAATAAAGACTTTAATTTCATCCTACCTGCTCGTCGAGTCAGATTACTGCATGTCTTGGGTTAAACACATTCCACGAGACATGACAAAACCAGAGCAAAAAGGCTCAAATTGTTTCCCAGTCAGACGAAAACACTTCCTGAGTCAAACAGTTTTGCATTTCTTAGTTACATTTAAACCTAATAACTAATGGTTCAAGAAATAAAGTAGTCATTTCATTCAGAAGGAACATATTCTCACCCTCCTCTTCATCTATGGCACCCTCTTCCTCAGCCTTTCTAAGCCTTTCCTGGAGGATCACTCGCTTGGCCACAGAAGCAAAGGAGCGCTTTGTGGTAGCACCTCCAGAGACAGGAGAGGAGGAGACAGGGTGAGGGGTGCAGTCAGAGGAGGAAGGATTAATGGTGGCAAGTGTGGATGATGGAGAGGAGTCAGATGCTTGTCTGGGATTTGATGAAGATGTGGACCTTTCACTCTGGGGAGGTGCCGGAGAGTGGTTACTGGAGACGGGCGGAGAAGGAATCTGGCTCGGACGGGAAGCTGAAGGAGCCGAGCATTCCCTCAGGAGGGAGCCTGACCCCTGAGTGGTGACAGTGGAGGGTGTTGACGGGAACGTTTTCTCCATATCTCCTAAAATAAAAAAGAATCAGATTGATTAAATGAAATGTGACAAGCGGCCATTCGCTCTGAAATAACCGCAGGTCCAACTTCACGTCAGAGGAACAAGGAATGAGCCAATAAAACCCAAATCACTGATCAAAATGTGCCAGAAGTGCACATCTCAGCTACTGACATGCTAGTGAGCATAGAAGTGAAATAGTAGCACACCACACCAGCACTTAGATCAAAGAAAAACAAATGACCCATAAAACAAAGATGCCTTACTTGGTTGGATTTCTTCAGGACAGACCTTTAAATGCAGGATTTATGAGTTCATTTGGATCCCAGTCTGTGTCAGAAGGCTCCTCATAGCTAGAGACGCTTCTGCTTCTGCTGCCCTCACCCTCTGGTCTAAAAACAACTCCACCACTTCATAACCCACCCTCCTGAAATGGGATCTCCCTCATAGGGAGGGCTGACCGCCCATCATCACTGTGACTTAGCTAATTGGTAATTAGCTCCTATTTCATTTATTAATCTGTATCTAAAACTTAGTTATGGCTTTAATCATCTTTGAAATTATAATTACTTCAGTCCATACATGTCCAGAAATTCTGCCAATCACCAGGAAGTAAGCAAAAGAAGATAAGCCGTAAGTAACCTTTGTAATTACTAGGGATGTAAGAAAATATCGATATGGCAATATATCGTGATATTTTCCCCAGCAATATTATATCGATATTCAAAAGCCATGTATTGGAAATATCGATATGGCAATATATCGTGATATTTGTTCCTGCGATTATTACATCGATATTCAAAAGCCATGTATCTAATTCCTGAAACAATTTACATGCAAACTTTTGTGTATTTTCTTTTCGTTTTGCGCAATTCAATCGCCACCCGCTAGTTGGCAGCAGTGTGCAACGGGTTTTGTTTCCACCACTGAAATGTAAATCCCTCCATCATGGTTCAGATACCTCATGTTAAACATGTTACGCATCAGTTTGGACAGTTTATTGAACATTCTTACAATAAATTCAGTAAAAAAATTGCTTGTTACATCTGAATGTATCGCAATATATCGTGATATATCGTATCGCCAGAATTTCAAAAATACACATCCCTAGTAATTACTGTCCAATCAAGATGTGCTTTCCATCAGTTGCAGTTAAAGTCTGTAGCAAAAGTCTCTATTTAAGTAGATTATGTGGTTTCAGGTCAAACTCTGTTGGGCTGAACCTAATGGAGAGTGGCTGCTCCCAAATGGCACCAAAGGAGAACAGAGCTGAGCAGGGAAGATGAGGTTGGCTGCAACAAGACCCAAACTCGTGGTTTGGCACCGTGCAGCAGTTTCTGGCTGATTTAATGCAATAAAGGAAGGAAGCACCCCGCCATGCGCTGGCCACTGAGTTCTGGTGATTGTGTCGATGAAAACCAAGCGGGTTAGGTCACTGCTTTCCGTTGCCAAATCATCACAGTTGTTTTGGAGAGATTGTTGGTTTAAGTTAGACTTTTAATTGTAATGAGCACCAAAAGGTTGGTGATGTGAATTGTAAGTCAAAAGTCTCTTTGTAGGTTTAGATATAAGAGATCAACCACTCATCACAACGTTTATTTTCTATAAGAACTACTATAGAGACAAAAGAAAATGGTCATTTTTCATAATCTTGCTGAAAACATGAAGCACCAAACACACACAGGCAGCTTTACTTCTGGCCTGAACTTTGATGCAGAAAAGAGAAACGAGTACAGATCATTTTAAAAATCACATTTTACCTCAGAAACACATCAGTTTATCTTTCAACTGCTGTAGAGAAACACGTTCATTTGAAAAGGGATGATGAACGATTAAAACATTTATTGTAACACAAATGTGTCACTCAGCTAAAACATCACCAATCTAAAGGTTTCTGCTTTTATTAATCACCAGGGATTAGATTATTTTAGAGATTTGCTGAGATTCTCATGAGATTGTTGCTCCGATAAAGAAAAAACATCCACTGCATTTCCTCACATTCATTTTTCACATTGCAGAAATGTCCCTTCCGACTGCAAGATGCACCTTAAAAAACTGAGAATTTTTTTTTTCTAATCTCCGTGTTTTATTTTTTCTTTAATTTAATGCATCACACACTCCTGCCATCTAACAGCTCCGATGGGACCGTCAAGTAGCATCTTTCACCATTGGACCCAGTAAGCACAGGTGTCCCCCTTTCCCTCCAGATGTGAGCTGACATGGAGCTTTAATCCTCTGAAGGAACGCCTGCCCCCCAACCCACCCCCACATTAACAACAGAAACGCTTTTTGCTGTCTGCTGCACTGGTTGTTGCATCACAGATGCATGAACAGGAAGACTATTAGGTTTGCTTAAAGAGGTTTTGTTTGCAGAATCCAGTTGAGTGCGCGCGCGCACCTGGAGAGGCGGGACCCGGTTTGACAGAAAAAAATAAATAAATAAATACAACCCGAACAGAACCGCCCCCATCTCTCCAGACAGGAGGGAAGCCACCAAAATGTCTGACTGCAGGAGGCAGTGGAACCGGGAGGATGAGCTCCCGGTTTATCTGGCGGGGCCGATCAGCAGCGGGCCGAACCAGCGCAAAAGCTACGGCATGTTCAGCTCCGTGGAGGGTGCGTTCGACAGCAAGACCATAGACTTCGATAGCTACGCGGTGGGGAGGAAAGGGAGCCGCACCCCGAGAAGCAGGAGTCGGGAGAGGATCCTGGACTCCGGCGACCCTGTAGAGAAGACGCCCGGTGATGCCCGGGAGGGGTCACAGACCAACTCCACCGGAGAGATTGACGGTACTGGAACCGGTGCTGAGGTCCAATTTGCAGAAGAGGAAAATCTACCTGGAAAGGTAGGAAGGACGAATTCAGTTTTCTTTACCCTGAGTCGGCCTAACGCTCCTTACAGCATCAGACACACTGGTTCACTTTCAGAAAATCATTTATTTGTTTAGAAGCCAATAAATTATCTCATGTCACCACGTTTGGACACAGGCGTCTCCCTGCCATCAGCTGGTTATTGTAAAACAAATGCTCAGTTTGCATGAATAAACAACTGCGTGCTGCGATGCAGTTTGTTTATTTTAACATTCAGCGCGCGCCGACGTAGCAAATCTATCAAAACATGCAGAAATCTGACGCCTCGGATTTCTGTGGTGCTGAAATGAACAGCGACCGTTGTCTCGTTCGCATGCAAGGTGCTCGTGTGCACGCGCACGCTTGTCTTTTTCTCCCCCCTTAAGTGCATTTGCACGCAGGCTCTTTTTTACGGCAAGCCGATAGTGTAACAATTGTAACGTCACCAACCTGTCCGGTGAAAAAATGGCAAACAGGCAAAGAAAAATACAAACAATAGAAAAAATTAAATCATAAAAGCAAACCAGCATCAGTAAATCTGCACGAGAATGGAATATTTTAAACCAGTAAGAGAGTTTGAAATGCCCCGAGAGGCTGCATTTTGTCTAAATGCAGAGTTTTTATTTCACTGATCTGCAAAACTTAAAAATGAACAACTTTGGCCAGAACTTAGGTTTATTGTACACAACAGCATTATGTTTAGTCTCCACCGTAGATCTACATGTGAAAACATATGTTTATACAACTTTTATTTATGTACAGACATTTTATTTTCATCCTTGCAAAAAGTAAAAAACTTAACCCTTTGATGCATGAATTATGAAATCTTCAACCATGATTTTTTAAAACATTTTTTTCATTCATCTTTAGGTGTGAATGAAACACATTTCAACAAATATTTTTGTAACATTTAATTTACAAATAATTTATTACATATCCACCTCAGTGGACAGCGTGCATTCTGAACATGAAATATGTTGGTCTGACTAACTGAAGTCCAAATGGAGCGGCTCAAATGCAATAAAGTCTTCAACAGCTGCAGCTTACTAGCAAAAAATAAATAACTATTTTGAGTACCTGTCCACTGTAGTGACCATTATGCATCAAAGAGTTAAACATCTTTCTACCTTTGTAAGTAAAATTCAGGTTTATTTCAAAACACCTTTTCAAGAGAAAAATTCTCCAAAATGCATTCCTACAGATTTAATCATTTGCAGACTCCTACCATGTTATTAATTATCAAATTAATACAGGTTTAACGTTTTATTGTTAGACAGTTGGAAAATTTTGCATTTTGCCACTTTCGGCTTGCCATATTTTCGCTTGATCTGTCACTTGAGGCGCGCCACATAAGCCGACGCAGCCGCACGGGGCGGCTTCATCCCGACACAAAAGCCAAGTTCAGGTTTAGGTACCTCCAGAGACGAAAGGGCACCCAGAACGCCACACGGGCGCCTGAGTCATCTCAGCCTGGTTCAGAGTGGACAGCGGATGGAGCATGTCTGGAATCAGTTATCAGGGGAATGACTGCATCCCCCATCAGAGGGTGAGAGAGCGGGGTAAATCCCTGCTGCAGGGTGGAGACGGGATTAAACTCTTAGTGAGTGGCACAGAACAGAAGGCCTTTTCCTGTCAGCTTCTTCTTTGTGGATCTGCAGAGTAGGTGTCAGTCCTCAGACTGTGTGTAGACACCTTTGGGTCACACATTCTTTATTTCTCTCTTCTGTAAATCAGTGAGGGATTAAACCCGTGCGTTACTGTCACAGCGGGGTTAGCACCAAAAACGCTCACGGCATGCTGGCATACATTCTTTCATTCTAACATGGCATCTTTCCTCATGGTTGAGCAGACTGTCATCGTGTGGAGCTGATCACTGGTTGCCATGGGAACCTTGCATCTTCTCAGAAGCTGTTGCCAGGCATCCTGGGTGCAAGGGTGTGGATTAGAAGCTTCATCCTGGATGTGACTTTAGAACAGAAAGAGAACTTTGTTGAGATCAACTCGATGGGGTACTCTTTGTGGCGTGAGGCATGAAAAAGGGGCCTCATAATAAAACACATTTATTTAGACTTGAACTGTGTAATCCAATTAATGGTGTTAAAATTAAAATTCAAAGTCAGTTTTAAGCATTCAAAGTTAAAATTAAACATATAAAGTCACATCTAGATTTAAATGTAGCTGCAAATGTGGTTTTTAAAATGATATTTATCTAAAACTCAAAATCAGACTTCCTTTAAATGGCAGTGTCCCACCAAAATAAAAGCATGCTTGTGTGATTGTGTCAATACTGCTTTAGTTTGTGGATTGCTAAACAGATTATGCAATATGCCAAAATGTCAGTACTCCCCCCCATGTGCTCCTCCCCTCCTGCAGGATGGAAGGTTGCTGATCAAAGGAGGCAGAGTCGTCAATGATGATCAGTCATTCTATGCAGATGTCTTCATCGAGGACGGCCTCATCATGTGCGTATCGTGATTATTATTTATGTCAAGATCAGGCCTCACTTTCAGCTCTTTCTTCTCACTGCATGTTTCCCCACCAGGCAGGTGGGGGAGAACCTGGTTGCTCCAGCTGGTGTCAAGGTGATCGAGGCCAACGGCCGCATGATAATTCCCGGGGGGATCGACGTTAACACATGCCTGATGAAGCCGTATCTCGACACGCAGCCTGTTGACGACTTCCTGCAGGGCACCAAGGCAGCTCTTGCTGGAGGCACCACCATGATCAGTGAGTGAAAACACCTGAAGCATCTGCAGCTCATTCCAGATGCAGCAATCATGCACACCACGGTTCCAAAACGTGGCTGAGTCGTTTCTCTTTTTTTGGACCTTTCAGTTGATCATGTGACCCCTCAGCCAGAGGGCAGCCTGCTGGAGGCGTTTGAGCGCTGGCAGGAGGCTGCAGATAAAAAGGCTTGCTGTGACTACTCTCTTCATGTAGACATCCCCAAGTGGAATGAAACCGTTAAAGATGAGCTGGAAATGCTGGTGCAGGATAAAGGTACTTATCTTTTTGTTTTTAGTGCTGTAACATTTCAGAAATGTGCGTTGGAGACCTATCTAGGGAACACAAGTGAGAGATTTAGACACTTTAGTGCTGAATCCTCTTACAGTCATGACTCAGAGGACATCTATTGTCACCATAATGCTGCTGCGGCAGCAGAGCACAACATTTGCATGTAATCTTTTTTAAAGTAAAGTAAACAAAACGAAGAAAATTACCAGACCAAGCTGCTGCTTGTGGGGCCTTTTTCTGCAGCTGGGCTGGGCTGTGCAACTTGGCTCAAGCGTCAGTGACAGACATGCACTAGACATTACCTTCCATTTAAACTGTCTCAGTGAGTCTTGCCTCTGACGGCACCCTATCATCATTTTCCCATTTTCAGGTGTCAACTCCTTCCAAGTGTTCATGGCCTACAATGACCTTTATCAGATGACAGACTCTGAGGTTGGCACTAGTATAAAAATCTCCCTCACATCACTGTTTTCCCCATGAATCATCCACTCTGTGGTCCTCTAACGCTACATCTTCTTCTAACGTTGCAGCTGTACGCAGCTCTCTCTTTCCTGAAGGAGCTGGGTGCCGTGGTGTTGGTTCACGCTGAAAACGGAGACCTGGTAGCAAAGGTAAGCTTTAAATCTCTCCTCAAGCTGCACAGCAGCTGAGAAATCTTCTCATTACACAACTCGCCATCTCTCAAATAGACCGACTGAAGATTAATGTTGCTGCCGCAGACCCAGAGCACATAACCGTGCACCTGTTTTATTAATGATGATGATGATGTGATGGTGATTAAGATGGAGAATGGTGAGGACAGAGGCAGCGGCGACAACAAGTGTCAGATCTGGTCATGGCAAAGACTGTTGAGATTAAAGGATATTAATATGTCAAAAATATAGATGAGTGTGAGAATAAATCAGGATAATTAATAATGATCTGAACACTGATGACTAATAATGAGTTAGTGGTGAAGTAGGGAGATGGAGATGGAAAATCCCGGTTATCCAGTGGAGACGGTGCTCACTGGGCAGAAACATGTCACAAGTACAATCTTTCTTGACTGACACAATGTGAGATTTTCTGTTTGCCTTGAACAAATCACACATCTACAGTGGTTCCTAAAGCTGGGGTCAGGACTCATTACCTCGATAATATCGAGGTTATCCGAGGATCTCCAGAGTTTAAAGTAAACCCTGTTCAGCACCACTGTTGTAAAAGCTAAAAAAGAACAAAAAATTAGAGTACTTCCGTTTTTTGTTTGTTTGTGTGTGTGTGTGTGTGTGTGTGTGTGCGTGTGTGTGTGTGTGTGTGTGTGTGTGTGTGTGTGTGTGTGTGTGTGTGTGTGTGTGTGTGTGTGTGTGTGTGTGTGTGTGCGTGCGTGTGTGTGTGTGTGTGTCTGCTCTGTCTTCTCGATCCCCAGTGAGTCGTGGAGGATGGCTGCTTATACTGAGCCAGGATTCTCTGGAGGTTTCTTCCTGTTAAAAGGGAGTTTTCCTCTCTACTGTCGCTACATGCTTGCTTAGTATGAGGATTGCTGTATAGTCACTGACACTAGTCAGTGACTTGATGCAATTTGCTGGGTTCCTTATATAGGAAACATTATTTCTGATTGGCTTAATGAACTGACCTGAATTAGAATGTTTATTATGTGAAGTGCCTTGAGATGACTCTTGTCGTGATTTGGCGCTATATAAATAAACTTGAATTGAATTGAATTGAAAATTATAGGGCAGGACTTAGGGTCACATTGTCATTTTGTGGGTCAGAAACTGAAAACCACTGCACTACATCATGCTGTACGATGCTGAAAACGACTGTAGATTAATTCTAAAATGTTTGTTTTAGGAGCAGAGAAAAATCCTCGGAATGGGAATCACAGGCCCTGAAGGGCACCCTCTGAGTCACCCTGAAGAGGTGACTTTAATCACACTCCCCTCTGCAGCTTAATATCATAAAAATACAATTTTATTTTTAATGACCTTCTTGTTTTATTCCTTTTTTCACACAGCTGGAGGCTGAAGCGGTTTTCCGTGCCATCACTCTCGGAAACCGTGTCAACTGTCCTGTCTACATCACGAAGGTGATGAGCAAGAGTGCAGCCGACACCATCGCTCAGGCCCGGAGGAAAGGTGAACCCTGACCTCTTCTTCCACTCAACTTCATCGCTCTTATTTCTCAGTTATTTTCATTAGAATCTGTCCAACTGTCCCTCCACACAGGCTCTGTGGTTTTTGGGGAGCCAATCACAGCTAGCCTGGCCACGGACGGCTCTCACTATTGGAGCAAAAACTGGGCCAAGGCAGCAGCTTATGTGACCTCTCCACCTCTGAGTCCTGATCCCACAACCCTGGATCACCTTCACACGCTGCTGGCCTGGTAACGCTCGAGGTTTCTTCATGTTTCATAACAACGTACAAAAAAACAACTTCTTACACGGTACAGTAGAAGCATTTAAAACATAAATCACATTTTTAGATGAATTCTTTGTGAACACAACCCACAGCGCTTAATTGAACTTTAACCCCAGAACATACATAGTTATGAGGAAATTACCTAAGTGACAGGATAGGAGACACCAGCATGGATCTGTTTACTTTTATACATACATTATATTCATACCACACACAGCAGCTAGTGTGTAGTGATGTGTCGGTCGTGAACGAACCGCCTCTAAGAGCCGGCTCTTTGAAGTGAACGACGGGAGCCGGCTCGTCATTGGGAGCCGTCCCCTCCCCTCCCCCCTCCCCCCCTGCCTTGGTGAAAGCTACAGGCGATTGGTCAACATGTGTAACTGCGTGTCCAGACTGTCCACACACAGAGCAGTAGGGGCGGGGAAGAGGGAGGATCAGACTCAGACACACAGCAGAGCACATGTGGGAGGAGGGAGACGAGAGGGAATGAGGAGGAGGAAAAAGGCGAGCGAGAGGGAGGAGAGTGCGACGAAGACGGTGAGAAAATGAGCGCCAGCAGTCGGAAAGTGGAGATTTCTAGCATTATTTTGGTTATAAATGTACTCTACACAACAGAAAATCTGAGGAGCCACTTGGGAGCCGAAAGAACCGGCTCTCTAAAAAGAGCCGGAATTCCCATCACTACTAGTGTGATGCAGAATAAAAATCTGATCAGTGAAAAGGACAAACGGAGGAAAAGTGAAAGTGGACGTTTGAAGGTAGTTTGACCTCTGCAGCGAAGGACAACACATCTGTTATGACCTCCCCTCCTCAACTCCCGCTGAACGAGGGGCCAGATTTCATGACTTGCACATGTTTAAAGCTCGATTCTGCCGAGTTAAGGCTAAAACCTCAATTTTTCATATTTTTACACAAACCAGCTCTGCAGGGTGTCTTTCACATCCGTCAGGTTTATGGATGGATTTTAAAGTTTCAGATCGAGCTTTTCCTTTTGCTCTGCAGTTGAGATGTTTTGTATTTCCTGAAAAACGTTTTGCATGACTCTGAAAATGTGCAGCCTTCACTTTGAACTTAAAAAAAAAAGATTAAAAATGTACAAAAGGAAGATAAATGTTCAAAAAGACAAGGACTTTAGTAACAACATTTTATCAGGTAAAATAATGAAAAGTAAAACTAATCTTTATGAAAATGACAAATAATAACACTCAAAGATGTCTACAGCTCGGTCTGTTATACAGATGTGGAGCTGAACTAAGATGTGCTTTTAGCTGAAAGTCTTTCGCATCACAAGCTGTGAATAATAAAGATCAGGCATGAACTGCAGATACTGATTTCATTATTTAAAATATATGACCCAAACCATTTTAACTACCATCCTTTTTCACCTCTAGATGGTTTTACTTATCTCTGACTCATAGCAGACTTCTGATTCTGAAACAAGTCCAGATGTGTAAACGATTGTGTCGGATTAGGATTAATTAGGATGTAACTGTGTTAAGGTTAGGAGCAACACACACACACACACACACACACACACACACACACACACACACACACACAGGACACACACACACACACACACACACACACACACACACACCAGCAACTTCCAGCTGCACACTTTCAAAGTGCCCTCGATTCCATAAATAGCACATGGACCTAGAGTAACTCATCATCTGCTGTCTTGGCTACCAAGCGTCTCCCTCCTCCTCCTCCTCTTCCTCTTTGTCCTCCTCTCTGCTTAGCCACACTTGATCCACAACTGCAGCTTCTCATGCTGCTCTGAGGGTTTAACACCGCTGTTTTCCTCCAGCGTCCTCTGAAATGACAGAGTTATTTTCAGGTTCCTATTGAGAGATGTGAACACTTTATTACGCTGGCTCATTATTGCTATAATAAGCAATCGCTTTGCGTTAGGATGATGATCATACAGCCGAGAATAATCACTATGATCAATGAGTAAATTACAGGCCTCACACCAAAGATTATGATAAACACTCTTCTCTTGTACAGTAAGAGGTAGAATGGGTGTGTGTGTGTGTGTTGCTGGTGTTTTAATAATGCAGTGCATATGTATGTATTAACAGAGGCTCTAGACAGCAGCACTGCAGCTGTGTTGCACCATTCTGACACTTTCAGCTGACTGGTTTTAAACATCAAACCTCCTCATGATGTGCACATTAAATTACAGGCTCACTGAGGACACCTAGTGGCTGATTTATCAATAACAAAAACCCTTTTAACCCAGGCGTGTCCAATCCTGGTCCTCGAGGGCCGGTATCCAGCACGTTTTCGTTTTAACCTGCTTCAACACACCTGATTTCAATCAGCAGGTGATTAAAAGGCTTCTGCAGAGCCTGATGAGCTGCTGCACAGGTGATTCCACCAGCTAATCAAGCGTGTTGAAGCAGAAAAACCACAAAACCTGCTGGTTACCGGCCCTCCAGGACCAGGATTGGACACCCCTGCTTTAACCAAATGATCATCATGAAAACTTTTTTTTTTTAGTTTGGTTCCTGATTTTGCCTCCTGCTGTGGACATTTCACATTGATCATCAAATACTTGAGTCACTGTGTTTCGTGTCCACAGCGGGGACCTCCAGGTGGTGGGCAGCTCTCACTGTGCGTACAGCACCTCCCAGAAGGCGATCGGTAGAGATGACTTCACACTGATCCCAGAAGGAGTCAACGGAGTGGAGGAGAGGATGGGTTTTGTGTGGGACAAGGCTGTGGTAAGGAGGGTTCCTGACAGTGTGGCTGTGAGTTTGTAACAGAGTTAATATCGACTTCTATGACACTCAGGCCATGGGGAAGATGGATGAGAACCAGTTTGTTGCAGTCACATCAACCAATGCTGCGAAGATCTTTAACCTGTACCCACGTAAGGGACGCATTGCTGCAGGCTCCGACGCTGACATCGTCATCTGGGACCCTGACAGTGTCAAAACCATCACAGCGAAACTCCAGCAGTCGGTGAGAACTTGGGAAGAAAAAGGGAGATGGATGGAGGACAGTCAGGAAGAAGAGTGCTAACCCTAACCAATCATCCATCCATCCATCCATCCATCCATTCATCCATCCATCCAACCATTTTCATCCACTTATCCGGAGTCGGGTCACGGGGGCAGCAGCCTAAGGCGAGAGGCCCAGACTTCCCTCTCCCCAGCCACTTGGGCCAGCTCCTCCAGGGTAATCCCAAGGCGTTCCCTGGCCAGGTGAGAGACATTGTCCCTCCACCGTGTCCTGGGTCTACCTTTAGGCCTCCTACTGGTTGGACGTGCCCAGAAAACCTCACCAGGGAGGCGTCCAGGAGGCATCCTGACCAGATGCCCAAGACACCTCAACTGGCTCCTCTCGATGTGGAGGAGCAGCGGGTCTACTCCGAGCCCCTCCCGAATGACCGAGCTTCTCACCCTATCTCTAAGGGAGAGCCCAGCCACTCTTCGGAGAAAAGTCATTTCGGCCGTTTGTATCCGCGATCTCATTCTTTAGGTCACTACCCAAAGCTCATGACCATAGGTGAGGGTAGGAACGTAGATCGGCCGGTAAATCGAGAGCTTCACCTTCTGACTCAGCTCTCTCTTCACCACGACAGACCGGTACAACGCCCGAATCACTGCAGATGCAGCACCAATCTACCTATCGGTCTCACGCTCCAGTTTTCCCTCACTCGTGAACAAGATCCCGAGATACTTAAACTCCTCCACTTGGGGCAGGACCTCCTCCCTGACTCGGAGAAGGCATTCTACCCTTTTCTGAATCAAGACTATGGTCTCAGATTTAGAGGAGCTGATTCTCAAGCCCGACTTACTGCCGGCAATGCGGACCAAGCTCTGACACCGGTCATACAGGGACCTAACAGCCCGTATCAGAGGGCCTGGTACCCCATACTCCCGGAGTACCCCCACAGGGCCCCCTGAGGGACGCGGTCAAACGCCTTCTCCAAATCCACAAAACACATGTAGACTGGTTGGGCAAATTCCCACGCACCCTCCAGCATCCCCCTAAGGGTATAGAGCTGGTCCAGTGTTCCACGGCCAGGACGAAAACCACATTGCTCCTCCTGAATTTGAGGTTCAACAATCCGACGGACCCTCCTCTCCAGAACCTCTGAATAGACCTTACCAGGAAGGCTCAGGAGTGTGATCTCCCTGTAGTTGGAACACACCCTGCGGCCCCCCTTTTTAAATAAGCAATAAATCAAAAGAATAAGAGTAGAAGCTCTGAAGATGCTGACAGTACAGAAAGTGGAAAATGACACTGTCTGCCTTCGATGAGCTGCTGGGCAGTGGGTCTATGTGACCAGTGCTGGGATATACCATGTATATAGCAAAGTCAGTGTTGCCATGGCAACGACCTGAATGAAGATCTTTAGGATCTGCATAAGGATTTACCTTAATTGTAGCTCTCTGTGACCCACAGTAGTGGTCTTGTTACAATAATTACACAGAGTGTTGTGTATTTGGAGCAGGCAGCCACTAATGTCGTTCACGTTTCTGTTTACATTGCTCATCGGAATAAACGGAGCATTCGTTAATCTCCAAGGACACGGCGATTGTTCAGCTTTAACGTAGAAGAGATCTGGTTACTCCTTCAGTTCAGACGGCTGCTTCTGAGGAGGACTGTCGTCCACACAGCTCGTTAGCTAATTCAAACATGGATCTGGAAGCTTTATGCTAAACACTGATAGCTTTGAGATATTTATTTTTTGTTCATCTGCACAAAGATATCTTAGATGATCTAAAGTTGTAAGATCTCAATCCCTAGGTTTTATTTAGTTAGCTAAAATCGCAGAGATCCACTTCTGGATGATGGCTGGAGACGGGGCTCTTGTCCTCCAGCTTGTGTGGATCTGTGCAGTTACCCGGATGTAAACAAAAACTTCCTGAACGGGGGAACTCTGGATTGCCCCTTTAAGTCCTAGTCCCTCCATACCTCTTCACCATTGACCATCCTTCAGTCTTACCCGTACCAAAATCGAGCTCTCTTTGTTCATCTTGCTTGATCTCTCTTTTCTTCCCGAATGTTTCCCCTTTTCCACACAGGCTGCAGAATACAACATCTTTGAAGGTCTGGAATGCCGTGGTGGCCCAGCGCTTGTGTTGAGCCAAGGTCAGATAGTTTACGAAGGAGGCAAGCTGCAAGTCCAGCAGGGAACCGGTCGGTTTATTCCACGCAAACCCTTCCCAGACTTTGCTTACCAACGCGTCAAATTCAGAAATCAGGTACGGAGCGTTTGTTTAAATAATCCATTTCAACATGACAAACGGAATGTTCACAAACTAAAACTTTACTTTTGTTCAGTGTTGTGGTCAAATATACGGTGAATCATCAACCACATGCATGTAGTATCTCTTTTAGTCTTACCAGTCACTCAGTCTGCTTTGGTGATTTCCCACCAAAGTTTTTAGAGACAAAAAACTGGATGAAATGTGAAGATTAGGTTTTTTCCCCCTGTTGATTCTCACTAACGTGTCCAAGGGAAAATCTCAGTATTCCGTTTGTTTCCCCTACACAGAAAATCCATTCTTATTGTTTTTTAAAAAGTTACAGTTCTTATCCAGGTTCAATCTGAAATTGAAAATCTAAACAAAAATTAAACATTTATTCACTTGCGTGTCCTTTGGATCTGTGATCCAGGTGAAGAATAATCAGGGTGTCACTCGTGGGATGTATGACGGCCCTGTGTATGAAGTCCCCTCTATACCCAAGTACATCACTCCTTCTCCGTCTGCCAAAACCTCGCCCACCTCTCACCAGCCGCCACCGATTCGCAACCTGCACCAGTCCAACTTCAGCCTTTCAGGTTGTGAAATGGGTAAACTTTGCCACTCTTAACATTACGGTTCTGATGACTGGTCTAATATGTCTTTTACTTTATTCTCAGGTGCTCAGATTGACGACAACGTCCCTCGCAGGTCTGGCCACCGCATCGTAGCGCCCCCTGGTGGCCGCTCCAACATCACCAGCCTTGGTTAAACAGCGCACATCTGGCCGCGGTGTAGTTTTACCGTTTTGAGTGTGCTGGACTGTACGAGAGGCATAAATGAAGACCTTTGTATGTTTTGGTAGTTATGCACTCTTTGATGATCAGATTAGGCACATTCATGCTTTTAGAAGAAAAATGTGATTAACAATCAACAAACTGATTCAAAACAAACTCCTCTCATCCAAAGTGTTTCATCAGATTGTTTTGTTCTTCCTCTTAAGCGTGACCTTCTTCTTCCTCACCTCCCACTGCTGAGTCTGCTCAGACACGGTGCTACTTTTCTGCCACCTGGTGGACAGCTGAAGGAAGAACACCTCAGCTGACTAATAGAGCAGTGACATTTATTGCATGGAAAAGTTTTAAACATTTGCACTATTTGTGGAGAGCATCTAAATCTGCACTTTGAACCACGTCTGTATTCAACAGCACAAAAATATGTGTACGCTTTTAGTGATAACGACATTCCCTGTGCACCACCTGCTCTAAAACACATAAATCCATATAGATATTTCTGTATATGCAATAAAAATAGTTGGATTTCTTCCACCTGATGTATGCACATGTGTCTCCTTTAAAATGTGACAGCAGGTCAGCAGATGGATAAACTGATGCAACAGGCTTTCACAGACTGCAGTGTTGTATATTTGTGTTGCCAGAAATGCATCTGGCATCCCCCTCCCAACTTTAGGTTTATCTTTTAATGATCTTTTGTTTTTTTTACCATTATTTTGTTACCTTTAGTGTTGCTGGTGTGCTTTTATTCTGGTGTCTCCGGTGAAATTGTCAATAAAGACTTGACTGTTGTCAGACAACACAGAAAATCCAACTTCTATGTGTTTTTTTTTCTTATAACTTTAGTTTTTAATTCATCTTACGTTGTCACTTTGAAGAAACGTAATGAAATACTAAGGCCTAATCCACATGTAGCCAGGTTTTTTTTAAAAACGAATATCCGCCCCTCCAAAAACTTGCATCCACACCACCTCGTTTTAATAAAAAACTCTGTCCACACGTACCCGGATAAATACGTTGTTAAGGACATGCCAGGCCTGTAGGCGGCAGTACTTCCCCCGTTCTTAACCTCGTCCTTCGTCTGTGGTCTTCCGCAAGGAGCAGTAGTTCCACTTGCAAAAACAAACAAGCAAAAAGCGCTTGGACAATTGATAAAGCGAGCGCAGCTCTGAGGGCATCCATGCTGTCGGCTAGTGTAAACACAGGTCGCACACGTGATGTCAGCATTTTTTTGTCGTGGAAAGTGACGTTGCGGACCTTAAAACTCCAGTTTTGTCCGTCCACACGCAGGCACCCAAAACGGAGAAAACGCAGATCTTCACTTTGGCCGGAGTTTTTAAAAAGGTCCGTTTTCGTGTGAAAAAACTCCGTTTTCGTGTGGATGACAGGCCAAAACGTAGAAAAATATCTACGTTTTGGCAGATCCCCGGCTACGAGTGGACAGGGCCTAAGATTTCTTTAGGCTTCTAATATCCTCTACCCTCACAAAATCCCAACTCCATGTCTCCATGCATAAAACTATATTGCTGGCCTTTCAAAAACAACAAAATAAACCACAACCAGGTAAAAGAACCCCTAAAACGAGTTAATAACCACCACACAACCCCTGTCCAGTAGCTCACTGTCAGCGGGGTGACCGAACTCTTCTCCTCAACACTTTGATCTGCAGAAACGTCTCATTTAATAACCTGGGAGACCGTGTTTGTTATCGATTTCTATCTCCTCTGGAGGATGAAGACTTGTGTTCACTGAACTTCAATCAAACTGTATTTCTGCAGCCCAAGGTTCATAAACCAGTAGAATACAAAACCATAAATACACAAACAAAACAACCTTCTTCTCTATAGTGTTCATCAAGAGGATGCTGTTTGGGAGGACTCCTTCAAGTGGAGCGCCGCTTTCTTCCAAACCTTCCCGCCAGAATCGTTCTAGCTGCTGCGGTTGGCGTGGGAGCGTCAGTGCAACTATTTCAAAATTATTTTGTTGAATTCATTAAAGTATTTGAAAAGAACACCCCAACAGCTTGGTCAGCAGTGGGTCACAAACCACTAACTCACAATGAAACCAGCATCCTACTAGATTACAGAGAATTTTAGAGAGAACTTAAAACACTGAAATATTAGTAAGAAAAGTCAGTATCATCTTCACTGGGAATATAAAAAATATGAATGTGTGCATCTGAAGTCATTTCCATGGTGGTAAAGTTTTTACAAATGAAGTATAATTTAAATGAGCAACAGTCCTAAACACAGACCCACAGAGAAACCCATTTAACTGCGTTGTGATGCAGAGAGAATGTTTTATTGATGAGGAAACTGCAGCTCTTCATCACATGAAATGGTCCACCTGTGATGCTCGTATGATCTCTGAACAAGCCCCGTGCGAACATCTGCAGGAGTAATTTCTGCTTTCCTCTGGTGGCAAATCATTGTGTAGCAACTAGGGCTGGGGGTAAACGATTATTTTTAAAACGATTATTCTGACGATTATTTTATCGAATAGTCGACTATTCTAATGACTATTTAGAAAATTAATCTAATGATTATTTTTCTATTGCACAATTAACAAAAACCAGAAAATCTCAAATAAATTCCTCAAAAAAATTGATAAATTGTTACTGTAAGAGAATAAACACTACAGGCCTTCCATTTTGTATAACACTGCGTTTATTGTGTTGGTTGGTTATGTTCTGGTGACGTGTAGAACTTGGGAGAGCAGGCTGCTGCCTGAGAGGTGGTAGAAGATGGAGTGTCTCCATGCTGCTTTGTTTTGGTCACTTATGTGCGTGAGGCGAGTGGTGTTACGGGTTAAACCAAACTCAGGTGATATTTTACACTAAACCGAAAACCGACAACACTCTAAATGTAATAAAAGGGAGATCTACACCACAAAAAAGATGAACTCTAAACCAAAACGTAACAGCTTATCCCAACGCAAGAAGCTGTTAGCGAAGATGCTAACAGTAGCTTTACCAACGTTAAGTTCAAGTTACCAAGTTTAAATAAACCAAAAACACCCAGCAGCAAACAGACCAGCACGGAGGAGAGACTGCTACCACCAAAACAGCTCTCCTCATGTCTGAAAGAAGCTCCTTAATGAAGGGAGAAGCGCTCCCGGTGATTTTCTACATCTGCGGTAGACACGAAGCAGCGCATTTGACCACGGAAGTTGTTGTCCGTTGCCGGGAGACGAAGGCGGGCAAAACAGGAAAATAATCTAGTAGTGGACGGACGTTGTTCCGGGTCTTCGGTATTTGGCGGAGATGTTAGTGAAGGCGGAGAAGAGGGCGAACTAGAGGAAAAACAGGCAGATTCCTCCTCTATTTACAAACTCCTGGGGATGCAACAAGTGGGCGCGGTGCGTCGACTTCCGGATCTGACGTCGACAAATTTTTAGAATCGAGCCGTCGACGTAGTCGAGGCTTCGCTACAGCCCTAGTAGCAACATCATCCAAGTAAAGACGGCAGCAAATTTAAAGTCCCTTCCCTCACGTATCACTGATTTAAGGGATGGTTAAGAGGACACACTCTGATAGCTGCCATGTAATACTGTGAAAAACAGACCTGGATCAAGAGAAAAAAGGAAATAAATAAAAACAGAATGTACTTGCTGGGCTGCTTCAGAGCTCTTGTGAAAGACAGGAAGTTTGTGGTCACGCAGTGGCTCGTAGTGTGTTTTAGAAATATTTTGAGACTTTTATTGTTTTCTAAACTATATTACTGGTTTAAATCCAAATTCTTAAATGGATTTACTGAAGTCCTCTAACCCCCCCCCCCCTCCCCCCCCCAGGTCCTCCTCATGATTTAACTAGAGAAAACCAGTAACCGTCTGTGTAAAGACCAAGTTCACTGAGGAAGGGACAAGACGTTCGAATATCAGGAAATAAGACCTCAGAACCTGTGTTTTCTGCTCAGCTGTCTTCTGGCTAATTTCTATTTTAAAAAGTGTATCAGTATAGGGTTGGAAACATAATAGTGGCAAGTGTAGCTAAAAAAGAAGAAAAAAAGTTACTGCCATGCTGAGGTGAACCTGTCCGGTGCACCAACCACTGGGCTGTTGAGACACCTAAGACTTGTAGCCTGAAGGTTGGTTTATGCTTGCGAGGTCCGCACGGCTCCGCGCGGAAAAGTTGCGTCATTTTGCGTCATTTAAACAACCACGCCCCTCCACCGCGCCTCCGCACGGCCCAGAATTTCCGCAACGCGCACCTCGGAAAATTTCTAACCACACGGGCGGTCGGACGCGGAAAAACATGGCGGACCGGCAAGAACTAGTATGGCAGAGGTTGGTAAATACAGACATTTGTATGATTCAGCTCTCAGAGATCACCGTGATCAACATGTTGTTAATAATTCTTGGAGAGAAATAGCTCGCACTGTCGGAAAAGACGAGGACGCTGTTAAAAATGCTGGAATGCCATGTTGTAAACAGTCATTTCTACTTCTACTATGGTGTAGTGTTGGGTGCATGCCGTAGAGCTCCATGCTGCCCCCTACAGTTTGGGAGAATATTGGCTCACCACAGAGACAAGCCGCATGAACCATAAACGCTGCGAGTTGTGAAGCGCGTTCCATCCGCGAGCCGCATCAACAAGCGGAAAGTAAATGCGTCAAGCATAAACCAAGCTTTAGCTGGCCCTTGTGTGGTTTCATGGCAGTGTTTCATCAGCAAAGCATACGCAATTTGTCAGAATATTCAGGTTTTGGAACCGATGCCAGACTCGATTCAGGTGGAGGTCTGGTGGCGCCAGAGGGCTACTTTCTCCTTGATGCAGGAAAAATCTTTACATGGACCAAATAGAAGCTGAAGCAAGAAAATGCATGAAAGCAGCCAAAAACGGGTTTGAGGGTATTCTCAAGAGGACATATCACAGGGTAAAAAGCTCCAAACAGTGGATTTGTGTCCTGTGTGTCTCAGGCCCTGTCCACACGTAGCCGGGGATCTGCCAAAACGTAGATATTTTTCTACGTTTTGGCCTGTCATCCACATGAAAATGGAGTTTTTTCACACGAAAACGGATCTTTTTAAAAACTCCGGCCAAAGTGAAGATCTGTGTTTTCTCCGTTTTGGGTGTCTGCGTGTGGACAGACAAAACCGGAGTTTTAAGGTCCGCAACGTCACTTTCCGCGACAAAAAATGCTGACATCACGTGTGCGACCTGTGTTTACACTAGCCGACAGCATGGATGCCCTCAGAGCTGCGCTCGCTTTATCAATCGTCCAAGCGCTTTCTGCTTGTTTGTTTTTGCAAGCAGAATTACTGCTCCTTGCGGAAGACCACAGATGAAGGACGAGGTTAAGAATGGGGGAAGTACTGCCGCCCTACAGGTCTGGCATGTCCTTAACAACGTATTTATCCGGGTACGTGTGGACAGAGTTTTCTTTTTAAAACGAGGTGGTGTGGATGCAAGTTTTTGGAGGGATGGATATTCGTTTTAAAAAAACCCAGCTACATGTGGACTAGGCCTGAGAGACCAGAGACCTGTCCAGGGTGTCCAGCACATCTTCATGCCCAGTGACCTATGCAGATGTTTAATGCAGATGCTGAATCCCAACACACAGAGGCCAGCTTCTTTATAAAGGAACAAACATGACTCAAACTTTATAAAAGAGGTTTATGTGAAAGTTTTGTCATCGCCAGCTGGATATAAAGACAACAGCAGAGCTATAGAGACATCCTGGTGTGACAGAGTGTAATGTACTTTTTAGTGCAGAATGGCTTCTGTCTGACCGCTCTACCATAAAGGCCTAATTAGCAGAGTGCTCCCATCTCAACAAAGGGATCCTGAAACTCCTTTATGACGGCCATT